TTCCGCTGCTCATTTGATTTTTCTTGCCTAGGACTTGCACATTCAGGGCGTGGGTCTAGCTCTCCTTCCCTTTTTATTGGTGGAATGTCTTCCAGAATTTTTTCTGCACAGTGAAAGGTGAGGAGTCATCTCCTTTGACCTCTCCTGTTTCTCCAACACCTAAAATTCTCTGGCATTTGTCCTGCAGGCTGATTGGGTAGTAAGTCCAGCTGCTTTTTGTTCCCAGGAAACTTCCCACCTGATTGTTGTATCTACTGGCTGAGAGTTCCAGATAACTAACCATTTTCCTAAGACTTAATGACTTCCTTAAAACATAGAGTATTTGGGGGCTTTTATAAAATTTTTGTTGATTTTTGGAGAGAGAGGGAAAGTGGGAGAGGAGAGAGAGAAAAAAACATCGATGTGACAGTAAACATGGATTGGCCGCCTCCCACATGCCCCCCACCTGGGCTTAAGCCTGCAACCCAGGCATATGCCGACTGGCACTCTTTTGGTGCATAGGAAAATGCCAAACCAACGGAGCCACACAGACTGGGCTCAGGTTTTTAAGTTCAAAAAATACTTTCTGCTTTTGATGAATGAGCCCAACAGTTTCAAGCACACAGTGTAAGAGTTTTTATTGTCCTGGTTACCAGAATAGCCCTAATCAATCCACCTGTTGCCTTCAGCACTCCGCAGTTTGGAGGAAGCTGAGGGGCGGGGGTGGGGGTGGGAGGGTGTTTGTGCTTGGGGACTTGCCTTGGGTACTTCATTTATCCTTCCTTCCTTCTTCCTTCTGCTACATTCCAGTGGCAGCGCCTAGTCCTGTGGGTGTTTGGGCGTCAGTGATGTGTCTGGAATATTGTGCTACATCGTTGGGCACACAGGAGAGCTCCCTGCATGGAAACCATCTCATTCTTTGGGTCTTTTGGGGCTTAGGGTGCTCATTAGCCCAATGGGGCTCCTGCGAAGTGGCAGGGAGCAGAATTTCACTAAAAGGACACTTGGTTTTAGCTTTGGTGGGATCTGGAACAAGCTGGCCATAGGCTGAGCAGTAATCTGTGCCTTTGGTATCTTCTCACTTGCTTCCGGAACTCATCCTGTCTGGCACAGCCCTGTTCCAAGAGAGTGCAGTGAGGATCTGCCTGATTGCTGGATGCCTGGATTTGGCAGGAAGGAATGTGTCCTGAGTCTTGAGAGAAGTCCCATAAGCTTTCTTTGGTTTCGACCAGGCGTTGGGTTGGCAAGTGCAGTCTTGCCTCCTATTACTTAAGAACTGGAGAGCAAACAAAGCCAACAGGAGCCTAAAAATAGACCAGCTTCTCTACGCCCCAGAGCCTATTTCACAGGGCCAAGGATCCCTCGTGGCCTCTTCCTCCTCTGTGTCCCTCTCTATCTGCAGAGGTACCGCTCAGGCAGGTTAGGCCAGCCTCTGCCCTTGACCCTCCCTGTCTGCAGTCCAGCAGATCCCAGTATCCAGGATGTTCTTGCCCACTCATATTTCTCCTTCCATTGGTGCCCTGTCTGCTCCTTCCACTTGGTTCTGTCTGCTTATTTGTCATACCTCCACCTGGGAGACACTTCATCCAGCTCTGCCCAAGCGATATCCAGATCCCCTGCAGTACCTTAGTCATCTGCTCCCACCCTGATTGTGTGCTCTTAGTTCCCAGTGATGGGCCTGGCACATGGGTTTCACTCATCCAATGTCTGACACTTAGGCACATGAAGTGATGCATGGGAAAGGTGTCCTGCAGCTCTGGACCTGCCTCTGTACCTGGGGATAGGCGCCTTTCTGGGAAGTGTCTTGGGGCCTCCACCTGATTATGAGCTGCCCTATCTGGCTTGTCTACATTGTCTGCTGACAGGCAGACTAGAAGGAGCAGAGCTGCTGGGCACTGGAATGCTAGCTGCTTTGTCCTTTGGAAAGTCATCTGTGAGCTGTGTGCGTTATGGAGATATTGGCACCTTTACTATGATCCTGCCTGGGTTGAGTCCCTGGAAGTCAGGCAGTTCAGCTAAGCGTTATCTGTATAGATCTGTGACTGCTCTGGGCAGATTGGCAGAATGACAAAGCCTAGAGCCTCCTTTCAGTGGTTCTTGCTCACCTGGCTTTGGGTGGGGTCTGCCTTCGTCTCCCCATTGGAGTGGATGCTTCATACAGACCATGCTCTTTTTCCTGGATGCTGACAGCATGTGAATTCTGTGAGGTGTGGGTGGTGGCTCCCAGGAGGATGTCTGTGATAAGGTGGAGCTGGCTGGGACAGGGGTGTGATCACCTGCCTGAGTCAGACTGTGGACTGACTGGCTTGGAACATGAGTAAATCTGGTTTCCCCGTGGAAAGGACGATGTGTGCACTGGAGGCTCCTCCCATCTCTTTTTCCCTCACGCGTGTCTCCACAGATGGGAGAAATAGGAGAACTCAGTGATTTGGGGGCCAGTCACAAGGTTTTTATCGGGGAACGCTGCACATCTTTATGGCCAGGGTCAGCTCAGGCACATTTGCCTCAGTAACACAGAGCCCACTTAGGCAATCACTCCTTGGATGGCCATGGCACAGAGAGGAGGGGCCTGGCAGGCAGAGGCGAGGACTATGGCTATTTCCTTGCCTTGAGTATGAGGTCAAAGGTAGCAGTGGTGCTGTGTCTTGAAACAGTGTGGCTTGGATGGGGGAGCCTCCAGGCAGAGAGAGACCACACAGGAGGATCCTAAAATCACCTGCATCAGGGTCTTCAGGATCACCCCCGGGTTTGTGGATTTGCAGGGAAGACCCAGGACAAAGCTGATAGTCTTCTTCATGGCTTTATACAGGTAGAAGATGAATGTTAGGCCCTAGAAGCTTTGTCTTATACAGTTTCAGGGAGGACTTTGGCCTCGAGTCACTTCCCCATGTCTTGGCTGGGCTGGTCACGTAGTGACAGCAGATTCAGAATGTTCCTCAGGTGAAGAGAGGGTTCAGCGATAGGATACAACCAGGATGCGGCAGGTCCTCCCATAGCACCTGAGTGGTTTAGAGAACGGGCCACTTCCTCATGCCCTGTGCCACCACATCATATCATGTCTCAAGTTATCCTGGGTGGTTTCCCTGGGTACACTGGAGGAGATACGATTTGCAGAAGCACCTGTAGGACACTGCTCAGGGTCTTCCAGAGAGAGATGCAGTGCCCATTGGGCTCCTGCTTGTCTTCTCAAGAAGGGGTTCCTGGTCACTTCACAGCACTTGTGGTATGGATGAGGGCTGCCCACCAGCAGTCCCCTAGCCCGTGACAACCACTAACCCAGCTCCTGTCTCTGTGGATTTGCTCATTCTGAGCATTTCACATAAATGGAATCACACACTTGGTGACTTTTTGGGTCTGGCTTCTCTCACTGAGCATCATGTTTTCAAGGCCCATCCATGTAAGCACGTTTCAGTGCTTCACTCCTTTTCGTAGCTGAGCAATACTCAGAGTATGGATAGGTCATGTGTGTGTCTGTCCATCCGTGGATGGGCGTTGGGTTGTTTCCACCTTTGGGCTGCTGAGAATCCTGTTTTGACGTCCAAAGACAGGTTTTTGTTTGGACATGTTTTCAGTTGTGATGGTGATAGCCTTTGAAGAATTATAGAACTAATTTTCTTGTTTTGGCAAATGTTACAGCTCTGAACAGTTCAGTTATTTAGAACTGTGTCCTCTTGGACACACTTTGTCATTGAGGCAGAATGACATTAGTCCGCTAATAAAAGCAATGCTGAAATAAGGTTTTGAAATCCAAACGGCACTGTTCTCAGGTAAAGCAGGTTGGAGAGCCACAGCAGGTGTGTTTCGTGTCACAGCAAGAAGCTTAGCCTATGCATGTCTCTCCTGATCAGTGGTCTGTGTCCTGGACACTCCCCTGAGTGCCCAGTACAGGTTTCTTGTAGCCCTTGTCAACCCACCCTCTGTCCAGAACAACTCCGTTAGGATGGGGTAAAACCTTCTGTGGCTCTGCAGGCCATGTGTTGGGAGCGCCCCCTGCTGGCCATGAACGAACAAGACGTAACTTCTGGGCATTTTTCTCTAGTGTCTTCATTGCTCTTTGTATTGGCCCCCTGGGATGGGCGCTCTGGCACTAGTGAGGCTACCCACTCCGGGGCTCATGGTGACCCATACTGCAGTGTGTGGTCTCTACTTATCCCCAACTGTTTCCTCCGCCCTGTGGAGCTGCCAGCAGCCATGCCTGTCTTTCCTCAAGGTCTGCCCATTTTAGTGACTGTGCTCATTTCATCTGTTCCTCGCCAGGTGGGAGGCTGGCTCAGGGGCCAAGAGAGACCTGTGATGAGCTCTTATCCCTGTTTTCTTCCTTTCAGCTGGAAAGAGGTGATTTTCTCTCGGAGGAGTGGAGAGAGCGGATCGCCAACACAAGGTATGGCGGGTTTGGGAGTAACCGCTCAACGCTGTGAGCACAGAGTTGTGGCCTGGCTGGGCAAGGCACACCAGGGGATCTCGCTTTCTCAGGCCCCTGTGTGGTTGGCGTGGCTGCCTTTCTCAAAGCAAAGCTAGGTGGCAGAGGCAGTTGGGGCTTCTCTTCTTCCCTTCTGGTTCAGGCTGCCAAGGGTCACTCTCAGGGCCCTTTCCTACTTTTGCAGCCAGGGAGGGAAAACTGCCTGGAGGTCTTGGCCCTAAGCTCAGCTCTCACTATGTCAGCATGAGGACATTGTACTCCGTGACTAGTGGAGGGAGCTATTTCTTTGTGCTTGCTGTGGGGGGAGTGTTGTATGGGTGTGAACAGCCTGGCAGGAAACATCCTGAGCTTGCTGGCAGGTCTGCCTGCCTGGTCTGAGAGGCCATCCCAGAACCATCCCAGCTCCAGCAGACCCTTCAGCCTAGGACTTGAGGTGTGACCTTCATGTCCACCAGCTCCTGTAGCTGTGTTTATAGTTCTTCCCTACCCTCTCTCCTTATTTTCCCTTTGTCCTTCCGCTGGCCTCAGGCTGAGGCTAAGATATGCCAGGCTGGATTGCTATGCTCTTCCCTCACCTCTAGCATAGCTGCAGATTTGATGGGTCTCGTTGGGTGAGCAGGAGGCAGTGCTGGAGTGTGAAGGTCTTCTATGCATCAGCTGAGGTAGCCAGGACCACGGTGATGTGTGAGGCCACATTGCATGCTCTGGAGTGCTCTTCCTGGGGAGTGGTGGGTCAGCCTTGGTGAGGTATGGATCACAGGCTTTCAGTCTGACCTACTGTCTTGTCCTTCTCTCCCTGTTCTTCAGGGTGCACCTACTATACGTTGCCCTGTGTCCCCCACTGCGATTCTTGAGGCAAATAGGAACTAAGCATTGCTCTTTCATAGAAGTATCTTTTTCTTTTTTTCTTTTTTTTTGCCGCTTGTGAGCGTACTGTCCTGCAATGACTAGGTCCTCCTCATCTTCTTGAGAGAATTGTGATGACTCTGTGGATATCCCCATGGAATAGGATCTGTGCTGCCATTGTGGTGGGCTGAGCGGGGTCTGAATGCAATGAGAGACCTCCCCAGTGGGGAGAACCCCATACTCACCACACACTGCCCAGCAGCATCCAGGCTGCAGTGTCCTGTCTTCTGGGCACTCCAGTGACAGCTTCCTGAGAGCACACTGCACCCTGCTCCTCTTCTGCCCATCGTCCGCTTGGCCTGTGACAGTCCTGTGAGCAAGGGCCCAAGGCCAGGCCCTGACTGTGTCCCCTAGATGTCTCCTAGGTACTCTGCTTTCTGTTAAGAGTGTCTCCTCCCCACCAATTCTTTTGTTGTCAGGTGTGACCCTTGCCTCAATTAGTTTTCTGCTTTTCTCGGGTCTGAATGTGAGAGGGCAAGAGTGTCTGGAGCCTGTTCCTTCAAAGCCTTTTTGGTTCTGCCCTTTTGTGGCTTTGGTCACCTTGAGACTCTGGCGTCCAGCCTTCCCAAGCTCTGTCCTGAGTAGGGCCATGGCCTAACTCGGCTCACCTGTCCTCATCATGCTCTGCCCATTGGCAGCTGGGGTGCCTCCATCCCACTTTAAATCTTACTGTCTTCTGTTTCAGTCTGCCTGGTGGAGCAGGGAGAGAGTACTGGCCTTCATTGATACCTTCAGCATCCTTCGGCCACTCTTTTCTTGCACTTGTGAAGTAACAGAGTTACTTCACCTGCTCCTTCACCTGCTTGCTGAAGGGTTGAGATTTCTTGATTTTAAAGCTTTTTTGAGACTTCATTAAAACAAGCAGCATGGAGATGACAGCTCACTTCATTTTCTGTAATGGTCAAAAGAGGACGTGAACCCATGTCTACAGTTCTGCTGTCCGTGGCCCAGTTTTAATCTGGAGGCACTTGCAGCAGAGAGGAGAGCCACGTGACTCTTAAGTATGAAACTGTCTGTCTTGTCTTTGCGTTTTCACGTTAACTGCACGGGTGTTTCTAGCATTTAGCCATTCAGAGAGTTCCTCTAAATGGGCAAGGGCCGGGTGGGTGGGTGAGGGAGCAGTCAGGGGGCACCTTGTTCCTGGTGAGGCAGCAGTCTCCTCAGCCATCCCAGCAGGCATCTGCAGATCGAAGTTCCTTTGGTCATCTGGTGCCAGAGGCCATTTGAAAGAATTGGGCTGAGTTACACTGTCCGTGGAAGAGCTTTGCTTCTGGTCCCAAGGGTCCTTAGGTGTCACGTTCAGATGCAGCTTAACTCAGTCGTGCTTCCTTCCTGCCTGGATATTTGGTTCTCCTCACACCCCTGCCCCCAGGTTACAGTTGTGCTGCCTGCATACCATCTAGAAATGTCCGTGGGCAGGCAGGGACCACCAGCCGTGTAGAACAGGTTGACCTGGGCCATCTTGGCCTGCACATGTCCGTCTTATGGGGTTTTTGTTGGTTTGTTTTTTCAGAGAGGCCAGCAATGTGGTGCTCATGGAAATTTCTAAATTATTGTACATTAGCAACAAACTTGGGCAGCTGGAGCCCCTTACCTGGGCTGGGTGGAAGTGGTGTGGGCAGAGCCTGGGGAGGCCTCTGATGGAGCTGGCAGTGGAAGCAATAGGTAGCATGTTCAATGGCACTGTATACACATGTGAAGATGGAACCTTCATTTTACTCAACTGGAATATTATTTTGCAGTGTTATATTTGTGAATAACTTTGCCTTTGGTCCTGAGGTGGATCACCAGCTGAAGGAGCGATTTGCAAACATGAAGGAAGGTAACGTACTTCTCCCTTAACCCCGCCCTTATGTGGCTGCAGCAAGCTCACCGTGCTTCTTGAACCGCCTCCCTCTTGGTTTGGCTAGATTTGAGACCGATTACAGGTGTGAAAGTTTTAAGTTTTCCTACCCATCCATTTCAGTCCCAATCAGAAGGCTTCAGGCAGTGGGATGCCTTCACTGTGGCTCTCACTGTCACCTGAGGTGTCGGGCTGGGTGCATCCCAGCTTAGAATTTGGAGTGGAATAGACCTACCTCCCATACACACTCTGCTCAGCCAGCCTGAGGGACTTGGTGGGGGTGGCCAGATTAGCAAGTAAGATATACTGTAGGCTATCTGTTTAAATGTGCATTTCCTATAGACAGCAAATAGCTTCTCAGTGTAAGGATGTCCCAGCTTTTACTAAAGGAATATCATGTGTATTTGAAATTCAGAATGGTGTCCCTGTTTGTCTGGCAACCCTAACCTGGGGCACTGGCCTTTCATGTTTGGAACCACCATCACCTGTCCAGAGCCACCCTACTACTTCCCTCTGACTCCCTTTCCTCCATCCCAGGTCAGATAGCAGCTCATTGGGTGGGGGAGGGGAAAGGTCATAGACACAGATAACTTTCATCTGCCTTCAGCACTGCCAGTTTCATGTGGATGTTTGAGCATGTGTGATCCCATTCTATGTACAGATGAGCATGAGTATGTGTGTGTATGATTGTTTTTAATTACTTAAGAGTGAGCAGCCACTGTCCACTGCACCCTGCACACACATACAGGGTGTCTCCTGAGCCTTCAGGCCCCTCCCTCGCACCCCAAGGAGAGGAGAGGAGAGGACTGGGATTCCTGTGGTCTTCGGGTCCCACCCTGCCTTGAACTCTCCCAGCTTCTCCTTTGTTTTTTCCCATCTATTCAGCCAATAGTCACAAGTGGCCTTCGGGCCTTGGACTGTTGTGTAGTTTTATTAGAAAATGGCCCCTCCATCTTTTTTGACAGTGTCCATGAGTTATCTGGGCTCATTTTCCTATGGGATGTCATCCATTCTGGACTCATCCCTTATGGTGAGCTTGACCCTGCCTCTCTGAGCCCCGTTTCCTACAGGTCTCAATGCCTGGTTGTCACACAGGGGCTGGCTCAGGGGCAGGATTGCCTGCTAAACCCTCTAGTCATTAGGATCTGTTGTCCTATAGTGACTTGTCCTCAGAAGTCCCCTCATGCACAATTGTCATCTGAGCATCGCAGGATGGCTTATTCCTAATGAAAACGGTCTGTGGACCCCTGAGTTTTATTTTATTGTATCCCACACACTTAGATGCTCCTATGACGGTGAATACCCCTCGTGGTCTCCTGACCCTGCACCAGGCTGGCCCTGGGATCCATCCTTTTTCTAGTGGGGGTGGTGCTCAGGGACACTATCTGAGTACTGGGGAGCTCCTCTGATTGGGGTGTTATGGGGCTGTGTTCATGTGTATGGGTGTGTGTGTGTGAGAGTGTGTCTTAAATGGATTTATGAAACATTATTTTCTTTGACTTTTATATTTGATTCTTTTTTTTTGACACTGCAAAGTTTAGCATTAACATGTTTACTTTGGTGTTTTCTTCAGTCCATGTAGAGCGTTGTTGTAATCATAACATGAGCAGCACCACTCACATATGCTCACTGTGACAGGTGTGACAGTCACACTAACATGGGGCATTAGCATTTTCTGTGTGGCAGTTCCTAACCTGATACACAAATCAGGGTGTTTCAGATTAAGTGTGGGTTATGGGACACATATATGCAGGTGGGATTTCAGGAGGCCTTGGGTAAGTTTCTACAGGAAGGTCATTAGTAGGTCAGGCTTAAGCGTACCTTAATTTTGCTCTTACTTGTAGGAAACGGAAAGGACTCCCAGTCCCTGGCTACTTATGCGCTCATTTCTTCCTTTGGCTTCGCCTCCCCTGCTCTTAACTTCCATCATCCTTTCCTTACATACATGACGGTTTTCCCCATGAAAGGCAATAATCAGCTTTTGTGTTTCAGGTGGCAGAATTGTGTCCTCGAAGCCCTTTGCACCTCTGAACTTCAGAATAAACAGTAGAAACTTGAGTGGTAAGAAACTCTCATGTTGCTAAATTCTTCAGATGATTTCATATATAAATATAATAATCATAATCATAATTATCGCCGAAACCGGTTTGGCTCAATGGATAGAACGTCGGCTTGGGGACTGAAAGGTCCTGGGTTCGATTCCAGTCAGGGGCATGTACCATGGTTGCGGGCATATCCCTAGTGGGGGTGTGCAAGAGACAGCTGATCGATGACTCTCATCGATGTTTCTAACTCTCTCTCTCCCTTTCTCTCTGTACAAAATCAATAAAAATATATTTAAAATAATATCAATAATAATAATAATAATTATTATTATTATTACTTTTAAATTGATTTCAGAGAGGAAGGGAGAAGGGGAGAGAGGTAGAAACCAATGATAAGAGACTCGTTGATGGGCTGCCTCTGACATGCCCCCAATTAGGGATTGAGCCCGCAACCCGGACATGTGCCCTGATCAGGAATCAAACAGTGACCTTCTGGTTCATAGGTCAACGCTCAACCATTGAGCCACACTGGCCAGGCCATATATATGATCTTAAACATTTGACACAAGTTAGTAAAGGGTTTGATTCCTGGACTTTAGGGCCAGGTCATCTCTGTGGGAGCTTTCTGGGAACCTACTTGATGCCAGGAGCACCCTTGCCTTGACCACCACAGATGTCCCTAGACATTACCCTCTCAGGTTGAGACCCCACACGTTTGTCACAAGGTTATGAAGACTCAGTGGCTTACAAGCTTCCTTGCTTTCATCTTTGATTGGCCTAAGGGGCAGATGGCTGGTGTGTGTGATGGGCTCCAGATGCAGAAACCTTCAGCAGGAAGAACTGAACCTCTGGCCTGGGGAAGAGCCATGTTGCTCTGTGGCAGCTGGCTTTGGGGTCATAATTTTTCGGGTGCTGGGCATCTTAGTAGCCGTGTTCTTTCCAAGTGGTCCTCAAGTGCTTTTCCATCCCACCCAGTCAGGCTCGTTGCCGTTTTCCTTGGACAAGCACCTGGGTTAGCGGGGAACATTGTGCACGCCGTGCGCCTCCCTGACCTGCCAGCGTGCCGATATCCAGGCACCTCACCGGCCTGGCGAGTAGGACGGCCTCACGTGATGAGGGCGCGCGGTTCTGCTCCCTTCCTGCCTCGCCTGAGTCATTCCCCCAGGTGCACAAGGCCCTAACCTGTGCCCGTCGTTGCAGACATCGGCACCATCATGCGCGTCGTGGAGCTCTCGCCCCTGAAGGGCTCAGTGTCGTGGACGGGGAAGCCCGTCTCCTACTACCTGCACACCATCGACCGTACCATAGTAAGTGTCCCCGTGGGTGAGGCCAGGCCCTCCCGGAAAGCCTCTTCCCCTTCCCTCCCGCCTCCCCATGGCACTCTCCTTGGAGGACCTGAGACACTGTAGCATGAGTGGAAACCAGGAACTCTTTGTCTTCCCTCTTTGCTCCCAGTCCTTGTATGAGGCGCACATTGCCCCGAACGATGCACTGATAATGGATTTGGCCTCAGTGTCACAGGTTTCTGGTATCCAGGAGCCCCCACACTGGGCAGCCTGGCTCCCACCCAGCTTGCTTCATGTGAGATGGCCCCGCGGGTCTGCACGGCCCCTGAGAGGAAACCTGTGTTCAGGGTGGGTCTGAGCAGAGGTGTATCCCTGTGACAGCTCCAACATTTCATGTTGGCGTGTCTCAGGTGTTGCTTTTGTCCTGACAGGTTTGGGACTGATGTCTAATAAGACTTCTTTCTTTTTTCATTTTTAGCTTGAAAACTATTTTTCTAGTCTGAAAAATCCAAAACTCAGGGTAAGTGTGTGTTTCCCTCATTGAATATCTATCACTGGTATGCTGCTTGATGAACTTGACAGAACTCCAAGTGGTGGATTTGGAGTGCTGGTTGGGGACGGGGGTCATGGTTCCTTGGGGCCACACTTCCTGTCAGCAGTCTTGTGGAAACCAGGTTGAATGAGTCTCAACCTTTGGACAATGTTATGAAATGTGCCAAGTGCAGGTTTGAGGGAGGTGCTCGAGCCACACTGACCCACCACATCTGGAACACAAGATGTTCCTCTTTCTAAACAGGCAACTGCTTCTAAGTGGTGCATCACACTTGCTAGAGGGGAGTGGCCTAGAGTCTGACATGGTGGTTCTACTGCCAGTCCCAGTGTCCCTGCAATGCCCAGTCCTTCGGACCTCAGGGAACATCTGTCCAAGTGTCATTGTTTCTGGAGACTCAGACAAGCATCTGAGCAGGAAGAAGTTCCCATGACATAGAGTCCTGTGCTGTTCCTGCCATACTTGGGGTATCTGGGCCTTAATTAGGTTACCTACCCCTAGCACAGAGAACAAGCTAAGCCAGCTAGCACCATCCTCTTTCTTTTTCCTACAGCCTTCTCAGTGACCCTCACTTTGCAGGGATGCACTTCAGTGGGGGTCCCTGAGCTCCCCGGAAGGAGAGGACTTTCAGACAGCTTTTTATCTTTGATTTCATTTCCTCACACACAGGGGTGTCTGCACCAGGCATAGATACACACATGGCTCAGGGCTGGCTAAAGGCTCGGGACGGCTCACGTGCTTCTCTCTGCCTTGTTTTCCTCTTCTGTACAGCAGGCAGAGGAGTTGGGCTGAGCGGAGCTGGGACAGGTAGCCCACCTCGGTGGCTCTTTTGGGTCATTCCCACACTTTGGGGGACATGCTGACACTTTGGAGGACATGTCCGACACTTGTTTTCCAGGAGGAACAAGAGGCAGCTAGGCGTCGGCAGCAGCGAGAAAACAAGAGTAATACAACCACCCCCACGAAGGTGCCTGAGAGCAAGGCGGCTGTGCCTGCGGACACCTCTGTGGTAAGTGCCCCCAACCCCTTCTCTTGGGCTTGGGGCCCCATAGGGCTATTATAGGCACGGCCCTCAGTATACAGGGAGGAGCTGGGCTCTTCCAGCCAGAGGGGTGGTCCTGGTCAGTGCACAGGTTGGTTGACTGATCACTGGGCTGGAGGAGGAAAGGGGGTTTCTGGGTTTCAGGTGCCTCTGTTCAGTTGCTCTCCCAGAGCAGTGTTGTGGGCTCATTATTAATGGGAGGAGGGTTGGGAACATTGCTCTCTCAGTGACTCTGTCCACTAGGATTCTGGTGCTGAGGAAGAGAAAGCAGCGACCACCGCTATCAAGAAGCCATCGCCCTCCAAAGCTCGGAAGAAGAAGCTGAACAAGAAGGGCCGGAAGCTGGCTGGCCGGAAGCGTGGGCGTCCCAAGAAGATGAGCACCGCGAACCCCGAGCGCAAGCCCAAGAAGAGCCCTACTGCCCTGGACCTCCTGCACGCCCAGACTGTGTCCCAGACGGCGGCGCCCTCGCCACAAGGTGGGCCAGGCCCCAGAGCCCAACGTAGGGCCGCTCCGGCGCTCTGGGTCATGCTCCAGAGGGACCTCGTGATGTCCTCAGGATTCACCCGGGCCTCGCTTCTCGCAGATAGTCTGCCAAGAGCAAATCCTGGTGGGGCTTTTCCATCACATCCTGCCATCCCAGGCTTTGATAACGTCAGCAGCTATGGCAGAAAGAGCACTGCTCACAGAAGTTTCTTAGATTATGATGGCATTTGTCCCCGCTTATAGAACTGCTGAGATGCGGTATCTGGTCATGCCTTTGAACTGTAGGAGCTGTGCTGAGTACAGTATTATTTTTTTTAATATATTTTATTGATTTTTTACAGAGAGGAAGAGAGAGGGATAGAGAGTTAGAAACATCGATGAGTGAGAATCATCGATCAGCTGCCTCCTGCACATCCCCTACTGGGGATGTGCCCACAACCAACGTACATGCCCTTGACCGGAATCGAACCCTGGACCTTCCAGTCCGCAGGCTGACGCTCTATCCACTGAGCCAAACCAGTTTCAGCCTGAGTACAGTATTTTAAAATACTGGAAAAGCCTGGGTATTATGGCTCAATGGTTGAGCATTGACCTATGAACTAGAAAATCACAGTTCAGTTCTTGGTCAGGATTAATGCCCAGGTTGCAGGCTTTATCCCCAGTAAGGGGTGTGCAGGAGGCAGCTTATCATTGAATCTTTCTCATTGATGTTTCTATCTTTCTCTCCGTCTCTGAAATTAATTTAAAAAAAAAAAAATATATATATATATATATATATATATATGTATGTATGTATGTATTTTTTAAAAGGCTCGAAAAGTTCCATAGAACAATCTGGAATTCCCTGGGAGGGCGTTCCAGTCAGTGTTGACACGTAAATGTTGCTGTTTCCTGCAGATGCATACAAGTCACCTCACAGCCCATTTTATCAGCTACCTCCCAGCGTGCAGCGGCACCCCCCTGACCAGCTGTTGCTGGCACCCACCCCGCCTGGACTGCAGAAGCTGCTAGGTGAGCTAGCGCCGCAAACACTGTGCGGTCATGTGCAGATTCTGACTTAACAGCTCTGAGAGGAAGGGGCAGGGTCCGAGGTTCTTCCTCTCTGGCAAGCCCCTATGATACCTGCAGGAAGCTGACCACACTGGAGTCCCGAGGGCTCAGGGTCAGTCCTGCCAGGTGGTGGCTGGGCTGTTAGGCCAGCAGAACCCGTATGGTTTACTTAGGCTGAAGCTCTGCCCCGCTGGGGACACTGGGCCATGTCTGGGGACATCTGTGGTTAATTGGGGGTGCTCCTGTATAGAGTGGGGAACAGGGGTGCTGCTCACTTCCCCCACAGTACCCTGGACACCCCATAGTTCTTAGAGTGTGGGAAGGGCCTATCAAGGATAAGCTGGGGCTGGGCTGTGAGGGAGCAGTGCTTGACCAATAAGCTTTTCATCTCTTTTAAAAACTGAGTGGGGGGGGAAAAAAAAGAAAGAAAGAAAGAAAGAAAGAAAGAAAGAGAGAGAGAGAAAATAAATAAATAAATAAATAAATAAATAAATAAATAAATAAAACCGAGCGAAGGAAATGCCTTTGAATTGTGGAGCCATCAGTTTCCACACTTCAATAGCATGAGTTTACTGGGAGATTTGGTCAAAGAAACCCGCCGCCTTGGGGAGTGAGAAAGTGTGCTGGTGATGGCAGGAACTGCAAAGGGCTCCATGGGGACACTAGCCATAGGTGCAAGTGAGTGGTGATAAGGCAGCGCAGAACCAAAGGTGTTGGCACAGTGACAGGTGATTTTCAGCAGCATCTGACAACAGGGCTGGGGGAGCTCCCAGAGAGACGAGTGCCACCACACGTCCCCTACCACCACAGCCTCCAGTCAGCTGGATGGCTTCTGTACCGATACCTTGTCCCCACTTCTAGAGTCCTTCAAGATTCAGTACCTGCAGTTCCTGGCGTACACGAAGACCCCTCAGTACAAGGCCAGCCTGCAGCAGCTGCTGGACCAGGAGAAGGTGAGGGGTGCCTGCTTTTGTGTTCCAGGCACTCTGCAGAGGGGTGAGCCAGGCAAGCCCCCAGCCTGCCCAGAACATGCCTTGCTTCCTGTCACGTCCCCTTGTCCCTGCCCAGAGGGCCTGCTGCTGCCCGTGCTGAAAGGTGTCTGTCACCCCCAGTTAGTAACTAATTGAGCCACTGAGTTGGTACCACCTTCCGATGAAGGCTCAGAGGGAGGACCAGCTGGCGTGCCGTGTGTGCATGCTCCCGGTGTATGCACGTGTTGCCACCTGTGAGCATAGGGAGGTGGCAGCTCTCCCACTTCGGGGAATGGACAGTGGTCTTTGTCGATGAGATGGGCTGAGCAGTGTCCCATCAGCACTCCTCCGCAGAGCCTGTGTGAGGGGAGAGATGGTGGGCTGGGCTCACTCACCAGCCCTCTGTCCCCTGCAGGAGAAGAACGCCCGGTTGCTGGGTGCCGCACAGCAGCTGTTTGGTCACTGCCAGGCCCAGAAAGAAGAAATAAAGAAGCTTTTTCAGCAGAAACTGGATGAGGTAGAGCTACCTGAAGCCAGGATGACCCAAGTACAGAATTGAGGGGTGGGCAGGGGCTGGGCGGGGGACACAGCTCAGGACAGCTGAGCTACAGAAAGACTGTTCCTTTCTGGTGTTTTTTTCTGGGAGTCTAGAACTTGGGCTCTGGTCACAAGGCTGCTCCCAGCAGCCCCTCATGGTGCCTGCACAGACTTGTGTCTTGAGGTCACCCCCTTGTTCCCCTCTCTGGGGGACTGTACTTAGTCTCTCCTGTCTATGACTAGTACGGTGCCACCCTGGTGTTTCCTGGTGAAAGCCAATCCCCTCCCCTCTCCACCATGGTGGCAGCTCCCTGCAAGCCCAGCCTTGCTATTATATGTCTACAGTTGGGAGTGAAGGCGCTGACCTACAGTGACCTGATCCAAGCTCAGAAAGAGATCTCCGCTCACAACCAGCAGCTGCGAGAGCAGACGGAGCAGCTGGAGAAGGACAACAGGGAACTGAGAAGCCAGAGCCTGCAGCTGGTATGTGCCCAGAGCAGGCGTCAGTTCCAGCACATTCCACAGCGAGCAGAATCCTTAGACCTCAGACCAGGAGGAGGGCCAGGTTTCCCTTGGTTGATGGGTCTGGAGGCCCAGGTGCTCATGTGTGACCAAGGCAGATGACCCGAGGTTGCCGGCGGGGCCCCAGCACATGGTCCTGAGTTTCCATGATTGCCTTAGTCCGAGTGTGAAGACCAGGGCCCTCCCCATCTCTCTGACCTAGTTCATTGTAGAAATGCTGGCACAGCTTTTCTGGGCTCTCAGAGCACCTGAGCATGAGCTGAACTTGCCGCTGAATGTGGCTTCTTTTTTTTCTTTTTTCTTTTTTAAATATATTTTATTGATTTTTTATGGAGAGGAAGGGAGAGAGATAGAAAGCTAGAAACGTCGATGAGAGAGAAACATCAACCAGCTGCCTCTTGCACACCCCCCACTGGGGATGCGCCCGCAACAAAGGTACATGCCCTTGACCGGAATCGAACCCGGGCCCTTTCAGTCCGCAGGCCAATGCTCTGCTACTGAGCCAAACCGGTTTCGGCAGTTTTCATTGATTTTAGAAAGAGAGAGAGAGAAACATTGATTTAGGAGAGAAGCATTGGGGACTCTTTCCCCCTCCCCAGTCGTTGTCTATGCTATGAGATTCTTTTCCCTTCTCCACATGGGAGTCTGTACTTGTTCTTCAATAAATTTCTACCTTTGCTATGGAGAAGAAAGAGAGAGAAGCATTAATCGGTTGCCTGACCAGGAATTGAACACGCTACCTTTCAGGGTATGGATGGTGCTCCAACCATTTGAGCCATACTGTGCAGGAACTAGATAAGCCTTTTGAGGTGGCCTGAACTTTCCCAGTCCTTCCTCCTGGGGTTCCCCTGGATGTGCAGGGCCTCCCTTATAATGGGTCCCTTTGCTTTATCCCAGGAGACCCCTCACTATACTCCTGTGGGTATTTCTTATGGAAACCCTCGTCTCCTCTGGCTGTCTCTGCAGCCTGGCCTTCCAAAAGCAGGAGGGGGAAAGGGACTGGCCCCCAGGGATTCCTGCCTAGAAACCTGCCCTGTCTCCTCCCAGATCCCAGTGTCAGGGCGGGAAGCAGGTCCCAGGGGGCCGTCCTGTCCTCCCTACAGCCACGCACATGCTCATGGCCGGGACTGCTTTGTCCCCACAGCTGAAGGCTCGGTGTGAGGAGCTGAAGTTGGACTGGTCCACACTGTCCCTGGAGAACCTGCTAAAGGAGAAGCAGGCCCTGAAGAGCCAGATCTCTGAGAAACAGAGGCACTGCCTGGAGCTGCAGGTAGGGGGGCAAGGAATGGGGTTACCTTGGCCTCTCTGGGCTTCAACTGTGGTGTTAGGAGCGTGGTCAGTGTTATTAGCAGACCCAGCAAACCCATCCTCCTCCCAAAAACAATGTACTAGTTCTGGTATCACATTAGGAACAGCCTCACTTCCCATCGTCAGCCTAAAGGGGAACAAGAAGTAGGGCAGGTGGGCACTCCACTCTACCTACCCTAGGGCATCTCATCTGAATGTGTGTCTGAGCACCTCCTGGTGAAGCGTTTCTGACACAGTCACTGAACAGACCTTTGCACATTAAAACAAAACAGCTTGTACTCCCCCCACACACACACACTCTGAAATATTGATTTCAGAGAGGAAGGGAGAGCGAGAGAGATAGAAACATCAGTGATGAGGGAGAATCATTGATCAACTGCCTCCTGTACGCACCCCCACTGGGGACTGAGCCCACAACCCGGGCATGTGCCCTGACTGGGAATCGAACAGTGACATCCTGGTTCATAGGTCGATGCTCAGTCACTGAGCTACACCAGCCAGGCAACTTGTGCTTTTTCTGATGGGGTAACTCATTCATCGAGGTTAGCTAGAAAAAGTTTGGGGAAGGAGAAAGCACAACACAGGTTATGACTGAGTTCCTGAGTACAGAACTTACACGTAACAATGAGGACAGTAGAGAGAGACTTGAGGCATGAGCATTGGTCATTATGAAAGCTCCCTTATACAGAGGTTCTGCATTTACTCAGCTCAGCTTCATAACATAGAGCATTGCCGTTGCCAGACCCTTGGGGCTCTTTTAAGTGGTTTATTGTAAAATGAAAATGCAATTAATTTTTCTGCACTATGACTCATCTTCAGGATATTTCTGTAAAGACATAGTCCCCAAAGTAGATCTGGGAGCAGTTTAAGGTCGTGTGATACATGGCCCAGGTGTCTCTTGTCCATCACACCAGCAGTGTGTGTCATAGAAAGAGGTTTGTCTCTAGCGGTAGCTCAGTGGTTAGAGCATCCAAAGTCTCCTGTTCAATGCCAATCAAGGGCACATACTTTGGTTGCAGGTTCAATACCCTTTTGAGGGGGCCCAGACATTTCCAGTGTGGGAGGCAACCAATCAGTGTGTCTTACATTGATATTTCTTTCTGTCTCTCCCTCTCCCTTCCACTCTCTTTAAAAATCAATGGAAAAGGGACCCTCTCCCCCTCCCCATGTGAGAGTCCGTTTTGTGGGACTCTTTCCCTCTTCCCATGTGGGGTTGTGTCTGTACTTGTTCTTCAATAAATCTCCACCTTTGTTTAAAAAAAAAAAAAAATCGGAAAAAATTGGGTATGGATTAACAACAAAAAAGGAGGTTTGCTGACTGTTACAAAAGCCAGGCCTTGTTTCCATGGGTGTACCTGCAAGAGAAGTCTCCACAGGGAATATATTTGGTTTCTGACTCTTCTGTGTAATAAAGAAATGATACATGTTCATATAGAGGAAAAGCCCAAACATAGTGTACGGGGGAAAAGTGCCCTGTGGCCTGGCAGGTGTGGCTCACCAGTTGAGCATTAACCCAGGAACTAAGAGGTCTCAGTCAGAGCATATCCAGAGCTGTGGGCTCAATCCCCAGTAGGTAGTATGCAGGAGGTAGCCGAATGATGGTGTTTCTCTCTTATCAATGTTTCTATCTCTAAAAACCATGTTTTTTAAAATTCTGTGTCTGACCCCTGGAAGGAAATGCTATTTCAGGGTTTTTCCAATATTGAATACTCACGAGAGTGCTACATTCTCTGTTCCTTGCTTTCCTGTGGATATCTTTTTTTTTTTTTTTTTTTTTTTTTTTTTTTTTTTTTTAATATATTTTATTGATTTTGTACAGAGAGGAAGGGAGAGAGATAGAGAGCTAGAAACATCGATGATAGAGAGTCATCGATCAGCTGCCTCTTGCACACCCCCCACTGGGGATATGCCCGCAACCAAGGTACATGCCCTTGACCGGAATCGAACCCGGGACCTTTCAGTCCCCAAGCCGACGCTCTATCCATTGAGCCAAACCGGTCCCGGCTCCTGTGGATATCTTTTAACACTCACGTGCTGTTTTATCTGCCTACCCTGAGTGCCCTGACCAGTTTGGGTGGTTGGCTGCTCTGGCACCTCTTGACACACCAAGTCAGTCTGCCTCCTTGTGGTTCCTCTGGGTGGGCATCATTCTCACTTTGCTGGGTTGGGCTGGGCTGGCCTCGGGGGCCTTCGACGGGTGTGCAGGAACCTCCCCCACAAGCAAGCTGAGTGTCTGCCACCCTCGATCTTCCAGATCAGCATCGTGGAGCTGGAGAAGAGCCAGCGGCAGCAGGAGCTCCTGCAGCTCAAGTCCTGCGTGCCGCCTGATGAAGCTGTGCCCCTGCACCTGCGAGGGCAAGGTGGCCTGGGCCGAGAGCTGGAGGCGGAGCCCAGCCGGCTGCCCCGTGAGCTGGACTGCTCCAAATTCTCACTGCCCCACTTCAGCAGCATGAGCCCGGAGCTCTCCATGAATGGCCACGCGGCTGGCTATGAGCTCTGCAGCACACTGAGCCGGCCCTCGTCCAAGCAGAACACCCCCCAGTACCTGGCCTCTCCACTGGACCAGGAGGTTGTGCCATGCACTCCCAGCCACGGCAGCCGGCCTCGGCTTGAGAAGCTGTCTGGCTTGGCCTTGCCAGACTACACCAGGCTCTCCCCGGCCAAGCTGGTGCTGAGACGCCACCTGAGCCAGGACCACACTGCCAGTGGCAAGACATCTGCTGGTGAGCTACACCCACGGTGAGTCTGCCCTGGCGCTCCTGGGCCGTTGTGGGGTCTTGAGAGGGGTTGTTCATCAGTTTGTAAGTGTTTGCTAGGCCCAGGCTGTCAGCTCTGAACACAAAGCCACAGCCACTGGGTCTCCACGGAGAGTGACTGGTATGTGTTTCATTCCAGAACTGAGCACGCCAAGGAGAATGGCCTTCCATACCAGAGCCCGGGCCTCGCCAATGGCATCAAGCTGAGCCCTCAGGACCAACGGCCCTCATCCCCTGCGGCCTTACAGATGACAGGAGACAAAGGCAGTGAGAAGGTGCAGGCAGTCACTGGGAGGGAGGGACTCTTGGGGTGGGTGACTGACCTGTGACTGAGCCAGGGCTATGGGGGCACTCACTGGGTATCCTGAGTGGGTCTGTTAGAGCGTGCATCCAGGTGGGGGCTGTGGAACAGGAGAATGAGGGTTGGGGATGGAGGGATAGGGCTTTGTTAATCAGGTCCCCACCCTCAGTTGCTTCACATTTTCATGAACAAGACTAAAAAAGTGGCAAGATAGTAGAGCCCCCTTAGAGTGGCATTGCCAGAGGGCAGCTCTGTCGCTGTTCAGGTGGCTAGTTTGAAAAACATTAGGTCAAAGTGTGAGGACCTAGTGATGGGTAAGGGCCTAGAAGGTCAGCAGAAGCGGTTGGAGTTGGAGGGGTAGGTGTTAGTGGGATGAGGGGACTGTCTGCTACAGCAGTCCCCTTGTCCATGGCTAGAGGGTAGTTGTGCTCTTCGGGTGGTGCTCGTGGCCTGGGGTTCACGGGTCAGCAGCAGCAGGTAGTCTGCTGTGTCTGCAGGGTCTGAAGGAGCGAGCCTATGCCAGCAGTGGGGAGGCCATCACCAGCCTACCCGTCAGCATTCCACTCAGCACTGTGCAGCCCAGCAAGCTGCCCGTCAGCATCCCCCTGGCCAGCGTGGTGTTGCCCAACCGTGCCGAGAAGGTAGTGAGTGGGCACCATGGGGGGCGGGGGCAGTCCAATGCTGTGTTGCTTGGAAAGTATCAGCACAGGAACAAGAGACTTTTGTCTGGCGTTCATCCCACTACTTTTGTCTGGTTCCTTTTTTGTTAAATTGCATGCAGTTGAAGTTTGAGAAAAATAGAACAACCAAGAATCCAGGTTTAATTACATTAATATCCTATGGGGTTTTTTGTTGTCTTTTAATCTTCATCCAAGGATATTTTTTCCATTTATGATCTCTTATCTCCCCCAACTCCCCCTAATCTTCCCGCTATAATTTGTTAGTCTGTTTGATGCTTTACTGCCTCTGTATATATCTTTTTGTCCATCAGTTTATAATGTTCTTTTTATTATTATTGATTTTTCACAGAGAGGAAGAGAGAGGGATAGAGAGTTAGAAACATCGATGAGAGAGAGTCATAGATCAGCTGCCTCCTGCACACCCCCTACTGGGGATGTGCCCGCAACCAAGATACATGCCCTTGACCGGAATCGAACCTGTGACCTTTCAGTCTGCAGGCTGACGCTCTATCCACTGAGCCAAACTGGTCTTGGCCTATAATGTTCTTTATTGTCCACAAATGAGTGAGATCATGTGGTACTTTTCGTTCACATCTTGTCATTTTTATCTCACATCATTTTTTGTAAATGATGGTGTGTGCAGGTGGAGAAGGAATAGAATACTTGTCTACACAAATGCCCAATGTGGTAGAAGCTTGAAACACATCCTCTTCAGTCCATACCTGCATCCCTTTGCCTCACGCCTATGGACTCTATATAATGCACGCCCCCCCCCCCCCCGTTATAATCCACATACAATTCACCATCTAAATGTGTGTTTCAGTGAACATTTAGTATGTTCACAGGGCTGACAACCATCACCTCTAGTTCCAGAATGTTTTGGCACCCCCAAAGGAAGTCCTACCCACATCCATAGTCATGTGTGTGACCATCCCCATCTCTGACAACCACAAGCCCACACTTCTGGACATTTCACATAAATGGGATCACACACACTGTGTGCCTTTCGTGTCTGGCATTTCTCATTGAAGTTCCAGTTTATAGATTCATCCATATTGTAGCAAGTGTCAGTGCTTCTCTCCTTTTCGTGGCTGAGTAATACTCTGGTGTGTGAGTGGACACATTTGGGTATTGTTTCATTTATCAATGGACATTTTTTTGTTTCCACTTTTTGGCCACTGTGAACAGTTGTGTACAGGTTTTGTGTAGACAAGTGTTTTCATCTCCTTGCACATAGAAGATAAATTGCTGGGTCAGATCATAATTGCTGCTGCAGCCCTCACTGCTTTCCCTATACCCTTCATCCCCATTCTGAGCCCATTAGCCAGAATGATCCTTTAGGACCCAAGTTAGACATCTGTCGTCCCCCCCTCCTGATCAGACCCTTCTGGTGGCTGCCCACTGTGCTCACACCCTGAGCAGGTCACTTTCCCTTCTTCAAGCTGCTTTTCACACACCTGCTATTCTCCCTGTTTCATGTCCTCAGCATGTTCTATGACCTGTTGACCCCCTCCCTGACATTCACATGCCAGGCCCAGCTCAGCTGACAGTGCATTCTCTCAACAGAGAAGCACCCCCAGTCCCGTGCATCAGACCCGAGAGTCCTCGTCCACACTTGAAAAGCAGATGGGTACTAATGCCCATGGTGCTGGGAGCAACGCTGTTGGGAGCAAAAGCCTCACCCTGGCGCCTGCAGGTAGGTTGCTTCTCCTATTTCTGCCCCGTTTCCATAGGTCACCTTCCACCTGTGCCCACTCCACCTTCCAGGGGCTGTGCTGGGCGTGTGAGTTGTGAACAATGTCTATAGTGAGGCCTTCAGAGATGCCAGGCGTAGAGCTTATCTCCTCCAGCCCTGGGGTCTGTGCTGAGTCCAGACTGCTGTCCTCCTTAGCAACAGCAGCAGCTCAGTGAGACCTGGGGATCAGGGACACTGGAGTGGGCCCTCCGTGCATTACCTGAACCTCCGGCTGGCATCCTGATACGATGTGCTTGAGTAGTGGGTGGCATTGTCCTCGTCAAAACACTGTGGGCTCCGGGACCACCCAGTTTCTAGCTGGATTCTGATCTCCTTCAGAGAGCTCCAATTTTTGACACTTCCATGTGTTGACACAGGGCCTGCGGTGGGGGCAATTGTGGCTCTGAAGCCAAGGGGCTCTGTCACAGCTGTTCAGCTCCAGTTGTGCAAGTCCGTGAACACGTGGGCATGTGCCAGTAAAAATACTACAGCAAAGCTTGGCAACCAAATTGCCAGACCATGGCTGGGCTGTAGTTTGCTGACTTTTGTGAACACCATGGCCTGTTTGGAAATTATTTTTCCAGGCATAAAGAATAAAATTCAGCCCTGGCCAGGTAGCTCAGTTGATTAGATCATTGTTTCCATACACTAAGGTTGTAGGTTCGATCCCCCGTCAGCACACATAAGAATCAACATCTCTCTCCATTCCTCATGCTCAAAAATAATTTTTTTTATAATTAAAAAATATATTAAAATGCAGAGGCCATTACTGAGAGCAGTCCTTCCCTAGGCCAGTGGTCGGCAAACTCAGTCAACAGAGCCAAATATCAACAGTACAACGGTTGAAATTCTTTTGAGAGCCAAATTTTTAAACTTCTTCTAATGCCATTTCTTCAAAATAGACTCGCCCAGGCCGTGGTATTTTGAGGAAGAGCCATACACGGGGCCAAAGAGCCGCATGTGGCTCGTGAGCCGTAGTTTGCTGACCACGGCACTAGGCTCCCTGCATCCCACTACTCCAATGCGGGGGATACTTTGCAGCTGGCAGCATGATGAGTTCTAGGCAAAGGACAAATTCTGTCTCAGTTGGATATCACAAGGGTTTCTGGGCCCCTAGAGGAGGTGCTGAGAGAGGGCTCAGGGTGGGAGTGGTACACAGGCTCCAGGGCCTCCAGTGATGCCAAATCCAAACATGGGAAGGAGCTCATCACGCCTGAGCACTCTCACCTGCGCTTGTGCCAGCCCAAGGGTGCCTGCCTAGTCCCTTGGTGCCATCTATGGGCGCACCCACGGCATGGAGAGTGCATCTTCGGGGCTTAGTGTCCTTACCAGCTTCACCTGGAGCAGCACCGTCCTCTCCTGGGATGAGCTTCCCTGAAGCACTGTTTCTCTTCCTGGCAGGCTTCTATGCAGGCTCTGTCGCCATCAGTGGGGCCCTGGCAGGCAGCCCGGCCCCACTCGCTCCTGGAGTTGAGCCCCCTGCCTTCGATGAGTCCTCCAGCTCCGGGAGTCTCTTCGCCACCATGGGCTCCCGCAGCTCCACCCCACAGCATCCTCAGCTGCTCGTGCAGCCCCGGAACTCCGGTCCCGCCTCGCCCTCTCACCAGCTCTGCGTCAGCCCCCGACTCAGTGCCGCCCAGGGCCCACTCCCTGATGCGAGCAAAGGGGACCTTCCCTCTGAGGTTGGCTTCTCAGATCCAGAGAGCGAGGCCAAGAGGAGGATTATCTTCACCATCTCAGCTGGTGCCAGCAGCACCAAGCAGTCACCTTCCAACAAGCACAGCCCTCTGCCTGGGGGTGCTCGTGGAGACAGCAGTCAGAGCCACGGGCAGGACAGTCGAAAACGGGGTAGAAGGAAGCGAGCATCAGCGGGGACCCCCAGTCTGAGCTCAGGCGTATCCCCCAAGCGCCGGGCCTTGCCAACCGTCGCCGGCCTCTTCACTCAGTCTTCAGGTTCTCCCCTCAACCTGAACTCCATGGTGAGGCCAGGAACAACTGTCTGGGGAGGTAGACAAGCAGGCATCTGGACGTTGGGTCTCTTGTTCCCGGGGGTAGCCGAGACAGGCTGGGGCAGGAGCCCAGGCTGGAAGGGAACAGCTGGCAGACTCCATGCCTGGGGTAGCTTAGGCAGGAGGGATCAGCAAAGCCATTGGGGTCGGTGCTGTGGAAGCCCATTGACAGTTGTGCTGTGTCTGTGCTGGTCCCTCAGGTCAACAACATTAACCAGCCTTTGGAGATCACAGCCATCTCGTCCCCCGAGAGCTCCCTGAAGAGCTCCCCTGCACCATACCAGGACAACGACCAGCCCCCCGTGCTCAAGAAGGAGAAGCCCCTGAGCCAGCCCAATGGGGTCCACTACTCCCCACTGACCTCCGATGAAGAGCCGGGCTCTGAGGATGAGCAAGGCAGCACCAGGTGAGGGCAAGGCAGGGCAGGCACTCCGCCCTTGGGGGAGGGGCGTACACCAGCAGGCTTCTGAAGGACAGGCCCTCGTGGTCATGTGTGACCCAGGGACAGGCAGCTTCACTTGCCTAATGCTGGTGGGTAAAAGGGACCTTAACAATCATCCCCCATAGTCTCTCCCTCCCCCAGCCCTTGGCAGCCGCCATCTATTTTCTGTCTCTATAAATCTGACTTCTCTAGGAATCAGTGTAATGTCCTCAAGGTTCATCCATGTCTTAGCAGGTGTCAGAATGTCCTTCCTGTTTAAGGCTGAATAATCCAGTGTGGATGGACCATATTTGATTGTCCATTTCTCTGTCCATGGACACTAGGGATGCTTCCAGTTTTTAGCTGTTGTGAATGGTGCTACTGTGAACTGTCATATATGTTTTTTTGTCTCAATTTTCCTCATACTAAGTAGAATTTGTTATATATGTAAATATATTTTTATTGATTTCAGAGAGGAAGGGGGAGGGAGAGAGAGAGAAACAGCCAATTGATTGGCTGCCTCCTGCATGCCTCTCCCACTGGGGATTGAGCCTACAACCCAGGCATCTGTATGATGGCAAATCGAATTGTGACCCTCTGGTTCATAGGTTGACACGACCACTGAGCTACACCAAACGGGTGTACCAAATAGAATTGCTGGGTCACATGGTCATTCTATATTTAATTTTTTCAGGAACTGCCATCCTCATTGTTTCCCACAGTGGCCACTCCATTGTACATTTCCACTAGCTGTGCACTCAGGTTTGAGTTCCCCCACATTCTCACCAGCACTTGTTTTTGTCTGATTTTGTTCTTAATGTATCGGGTCTAGTAATAATTAATGTCGTTTTTAAACATTCGTTTAAAATCTTGCTTGGCGTTGACTTGTATTGACATAACCTTCAAACACGTGGTATCTACAGAACGTGTGAAGTGCAATTAACAAGTTTTGCTTGAAAAAGTTTGTGTTTGGTTTGGTTTTTGTTGCAAAACTAGGGCTAAGAAGATGGCGGATGAAGAGCATATTCGGCACTGCATGCTTTACGAGTTCCAATTAGGAAGAAAAGCAAGTGAGGCTGCAAAAAACATCTGTAGTGCTCTTGGTCAAGATGCAGTTAGCGCCAGAAAATGCCAGCGTTGGTTTGAGAAATTTCGTGAGGGAAATTTTTCGTTAGATGACAAGAGTGGTCGAGGCCGTGTGTCCAATTTTGATCAAGAAGCTCTTCAAGCTCTTTTGGTGCAAAATCCTCAAATTACCCAACAAGAGCTTGCGACAACTTTAAATTGTTCACAAAAAACAATTTCCAATCAGTTGCGTGCACTTGGCAAAGTCCAAAAGTTTGGAAAATGGGTTCCTCATGAGTTGACCGACAACAACCGTAATCAAAGAGTCACAATTTGCAGTTCGCTCCTCTCTCGTCAAAACCGTTTGCCGTTTTTAGAGCAAATTGTTACCGGAGATGAAGAATGGGTGCTGTATGTTAATTTGAAAAGGCGGCCTCAATGGTTGGACAAAAATGAGGCTCCGCAGCCCACGCCAAAACCTGACTTGCATGCGAAAAAAGTGATGTTGTGTGTTTGGTGGAATTTTAAAGGAATTCTTCATTATGAACTTTTACCATCTAACCAAACCATTACAAGTGCAGTGTATAGTGCCCAATTGGAAAGGTTAGCCCAAGCTTTAAGAGAAAAAGAACCCGCGCTGATTAATCGGAAGGGCGTAATTCTTCACCACGATAACGCACGACCGCATACTGCAAGAATCACTGCTGAAAAACTGCGCCAGTTGGAATGGGAAGTTCTCCCTCAACCTGCATATTCTCCTGATATTGCCCCTTCCGATTACCATTTGTTTCGTTCTTTGCAAAACTTTCTTCTTGGAAAAAAATTTAATAATGAAGAATGCCTCAAAAATGCATTGACCGAATTTTTTGCATCAAAATCACAAGAATTTTACAACAGAGGGATTAAAATGCTTCCTGAGCGTTGGGCACAAGTAGTAAAAAACAATGGCAACTATATTGTTGATTAAATTTTGTTGTATTGTTTAAATAAATTCGATTTAAAAAAGTATTAGAAAACGACATTAATTATTACTAGACCTAATAAATTCCTTTCTTATGGGTGTGAAGTGGTGTCTACTATGGTCCTGACTTTTATCTCCCTGACAACGAGTATCTTCTCAGATTGGCTGTCCGTGTGTCTGTCCAGGGTCATTGGCCCTTCCTTTATTTGGGTGTCCTGTGCTATTGTTGATTTGTGAGAGTTCTTTATTCTGGATACATGATCCCTTATGGTATGACATTTCCCCTCTCTCCCTGGGTTAAATTTTTACTAAGTCCCATTTATCTGTTTTTTTCTTTTATTGCCTGTTCTTTGGGTGTCTCATAAAGTGATTTTATTTTGTTTTTCTTCCACATACATACATTATGTTCTTAAAGGTTGCACTTGAGTAGTCTTTTGTCTCAGGCACATCCAGCTTACCAGGTTCCAGATTCATTTGGAAGTTCTATGTCCTTGGGGAAAGGCCGGAGTACACTGACACACAGAATGCACACCATTTCTAAGTTGGGGCTGCTATGAATTCCAACTTGCTGAAGTGTACTACATCCTCTGTGTCACATACATGACATACTATAGATGACATGACAAGCAGGGCGTTTTAAACAGATTGAGAGAGGGTTCTGTCTGGGACATGTGTGTGTCTCTGTATATGGGGAAGTGGAGTGCCTATTCCTCCAGCTGCTGAGCCCTCAGTAATTTGGCTGCAAATGGACATAACAGCTATGGGTCCTCCTGGAAGGAGGTACAAGGGCTACTGCTGCTCAACCTCCCTGGGGCAATTCGGTGAACACACATAACTCTCAGTATGCACAGGTATTTCAAACAGTTCTTTTTTTTCTTCTTGATAGAATTGAGAGAAAAATTGCAACTATCTCCTTAGAAAGCAAATCTCCTCCGAAAACCTTGGAAAATGGTGAGTAACAGTGCTCCATTGCATGAGTCCCCAGTGCTAGGTGGCATGCCCTGTCTTTTCTGCACAGGTTCCTGAGCACAGTGGTGCTAGAAAGGCCATTCTCACCACAGGCCAGTCTTGCTGCTGCCAGGCACCATATCCTCAGTTGCCTGGGCAGCAGACCTGTTTCCTTCTGGTGAAATAGGCCAAAGTCTGATTTGTGTTGACTCGTTCACCCACCTGCCCTCCCACAGAAGCACTCCTCTCATCTTTACCTTCTCCTGTAGTCTGTCCCACCCTAACCACTTGGAGGACCAACCTTTTCTGGGTTGAAGGCATCCATCATTCTGAGCTTTAGTGGCCTGAGCCCATGCAGCTTCCTCCCAGACCCCCTCGGAGACCTTCTAACCACAGTTCCCATCCCACTTGACCCCTTGGAGGCTCCCAGGCCTCAGCCCCTGCCTCTCCTCATCAGGTGGCACCCTGGTAGGAAGGAAGCCGATGCCCTCCAGCGAGCCCATCAACAGCAGCAAGTGGAAGTCCACCTTCTCACCCATCGCTGACCTTGGCCTGGCCAAGGCCACTGACAGCCCGCTACAGGCCAGCTCCGCTCTGAGCCAGAACTCCCTGTTCGCTTTTCGGCCCACCCTAGAGGAGCTCAGCTCAGTTGATGCCAAGCTGGTCACCCACCCCAGGAAGAGCTTTCCGGGTGCACTGTCGGGGGCTGGCGGGCTGAGTCCCATCAGCACCCCCCCCAACGGCTTTGCTTTCAGCGGGAGCCTGGCTGCCGACCTCAGTTTACACAGTTTCAGTGATGGTGCTTCTCTCTCCCACAAGGCCCCTGAGGTGGCCAGCCTGGGCGCCCCCCTGAGCTTTTCCGCCCCGAGGGGTAAGGAGAGCAGCACGGAGCCTGGCCCTTTTGTGAACAAGAGGCAGCTGGATGGACTGGGTGGCCCAAAGGGTGAGGGCGTCAAGGGCAGGGAGGGAGAAGTCAGCTTGCCTGTGAGCACACCCTCAGACAAGGCCTCGTCACATGGCAAGGTGGGCAAGGGCCGGGACCGCGAGCCTGATTTCAAAAACGGCCACAATCTCTTCATTTCTGCCGCTGCCGGGCCTCCTGGGGGCCTCCTCAGTGGGCCCGGCCTCACCACGGCTGCGTCCTCAGCAAGCGGCACAGCCCCCTCCTCCCAGACACACCGGCCCTTCCTGGGCACTTTTGCACCTGGCCCACAGTTTGCCTTGGGCCCCATGTCCCTGCAGGCCAACTTAGGCTCATCTGTGCTACAGTCCTTGTTCAGCTCTGTGCCGGCTGCTGCTGGCCTAGTGCACGTCTCATCCGCTGCAACCAGACTGACCAACTCTCATGCCATGGGCAGCTTTTCCTCCGGTGTGGCAGGTGGTGCAGTTGGAGGTAGGCAGAAGCGCGTCTCTCCTGTCTGACTCTCGGTCCCACGGGACCTGCTCTGGGGTCTGTGACACTACATCGTCAAGGAAGCCTTCTGGACCACTGGGTTTAATCACAACTGCTTTACAGGTTCCTTCCAGAGCCCCCTAAGGGATGAGAGGCTGTGCCCTCTGGTCCCTTTGTGTCCACCTTGCACCTGCCACCTCATTCCTTTTCACAAAATGCAGATATGACTCACATGGGCAGAGCACTCATGCGTGAGTTGGCCTGTCAGGCTTTCTGGTTGTGACACTGTCTTTCATACCTTCAGGAGAGCTGGCGCCGTGACTAGAGCTTTCATGCCTCCCTGTGGAGGTCACCATCAGACCTGACAGCCTTGGGGACTGTCGGGCATTGCAAGAGACTAACCACAGCGCCTGCTGCACTGTGGCTCTGTGTAGGGTGGAGTGGAGCCACTGTCTGGGTCCTCTGTTGTCCCAGGCCTCCCTAGGTGGCTCCTTGCTGGGTACAGGTGGGCGAGATGCTCACAGCTGGGCACCTAGGAGGGAGTGCTGAGGGGGGGTGGCATGGGGCCATCCTGCAGGTAAGTCTCACCTGGCCACCTGCACTCCTGCTGCCTACTGCTTTGTCCCTGCACCTGTGTGCACTCAGAGCTGCGGCTGCTGTCTGCTTCCCCTTTTTTGCGTGTGTCTCTTCGCTTGCCTGGAGAATGCCCGCCTGTTGAAGCTGAGTTTTTCTCTCCTGTTTGCAGGTATCTTTAACCACACGGTGCCTTCCGCCTCCACTCATCCGTTTGGAGCCAGTTTCGGCAGCGGGGCTGCTTGTCGCAGCACCACGCTGAGCTTAACCCCGATGCAGGCGGTGGCCAGTACCCCCGCCTCTTCCTTTCAGGCCCTGTCCTCTGTGGAGACCAGGCAGCCCCCACCCCAGCCTCCTCTGCCCCTGGGTCGGCCCCCTGCGGGGCCACCAGCACTTCACGCGCCCCCCCCTCCTCCTAACGCTGCCTTGCCTCCTGCTCCTGCACTGCTCCCTGCTAACTCTGAGCCTGTGCTCCTGCAGAATCTTGCGCCCCTCCCGGCTAACCAAGCTTTCTTACCTGCCTCCTCTGCCGCCTCTCTGCCTCCTGCTAACGCCTCTCTGTCTGTCAAGCTCGCATCCCTCCCACACAAGGTCTCCCGCCCCTCCTTTGTGGTGCACCACCAGCCACTGCCTGGACTGGCTCTGGCCCAGGCCTCACCCATGATCCCACAGGCCAGCTCCACGGGGCCGTCCGCCGTGTGGGTTTCCCTTGGCATGCCGCCTCCTTATGCCGCGCGCCTTGCGGGGGTTAAGCCGCGATAAAGACCTTGGTTAGCTAGCCGTTCTGTAAGGTAAGGCTAGAGCCCAACCAGGTGGCCCATACAAGAAACTCACCTGTCCTTTCTTCCACAGAGAGTGGACAGGCCCCACGGGCTCTGCAGAGGGCCCTGGGACCAATAGTTCCGAGAGGCACTAAGAAAGAATAAGCACAGGGCGGGAAGGGAGATGGCAGCCATGCATATTGACCTCCGAGTACAGCCTGAGCACCACCACAGAGCTCAGGAGGGGAAGGGCCAATCTTTGGTGCCCACTGGACCTTCCCACCAGGGCCTGCAGGCTGGGCAGGCAGGATACTGCACTAAGTCCTGCATAGAGGGGGCCAGGAGGAGGTGGATGCGGCCAGGGTCCTGGCTGTGCAGTCCCGCTCCGTTTTGTTGCCATCCTCCAGCTGCATGTCTGCAGTCGTCAGGGACCCAGGAAGCCCCAGGGTGGGGCTGTGGGGCAGCTCTGAATCTCAGTTGCTGTTTGCCCACTGTTAGGCTTCTCTCAATCTGTTTTATTGAATGTACCTCATGGTTTTAGGAAATTTTTATGCATTTGAGGCCCCTGTACTTAGCTGGCCTTCAGAAGATGGTGGTTGTGCAGGCCCAACCCACATGCACCAGAGGCCTGTGGGTAATGGGATGAGCATAGCCAGCCACAGGAAGGGCTGCTTGGACAGGTGATTGGTGCTGCTCTGGCCCTCAAGGATTTTGATGTCAGTGTGGAGTCAGAGAACAGTGTAGGAAGGGCCTGACTTTGGAAATGGGGTAAGAAAGGTGCCTGTGAAGCATTTAGGAAGGCCATCTGCTCCTTTGCTGGCTGTGAGGGTGTTGGGACCCCGAGCAGCTGACCCAGCCACTGCTGGTAGGGCAAAGGGCCTTTCCAGGCAAGTCCACAGCCTGTGGGGTGAGTACTCCAGGATCAAGCTAGGTGCTAACTGGCACTGGGGACCAGGTGTGAGGTCTGCCTGCTCTCCTTGGTTATCTGCATGTGCTTCAGTGGAAACAGACATGAGGCTGCAGGAGTCTGATGACCTTCTGGTAGTGCCTCAGTCCTGATGGAAAAGTCTGGAAGGTAGGGTGGCTCCAGCTCAAAGTGGCTTCATGCTGTCAGAGAAGGCACTGGCTTGAAGAGGTCAAAGGTGTATGAGGAAGCATTTGGGTGTCAGGCTACCTGCCCTGACCCACAGTGGATACCTGCCTTCCATCTCATCCCAGGCCCATCACAGGTCTCCCTAGGCTGGACAGTGATGACCTCACTGCTGGGCATGCAGGCCTGTCAGTGGGGCTGCCCACAGGCACACCTGCTCACTCCCATGAGCTGGCGTGTGGTGACCAGGGAGGTGAGGAGGCCGGGACACAGCGCCCCATGGAAGGCCTTGGGCTGGTGACCTCCCACCTCTGATTGAACCAGGGGCATGGCAGGGCGTTGTTTGCAACAACTAAGTTCCTTCTGTCCATCCATCTGTCTATAGGCTTTGGTTCCCAGCCTGGGGATGTCTGGGCTTCTCCCAGTGAGATGCTAACACTGTGCTGCCTTTCCTCCTGCGCCGGTCTCTGCAGGTAACTAGGATTTCTACCTCAACCTCGAGACCTGTGCAAGGATAGGTGGGCTGCAGGGCTGGTGGCCGACCAGATGGCGGGATGGACCGAGGACGAGGCTCTGCTCTGAGTCCACGCTGCGCAGACCTGCAGGAGATGCTGGGCCTGGCTCCAGCTTATACTGTCAATAGTTTTAGATAAAATATTTATCGTTTTTTAAAAAGTATAAACAATTTTGACTTATTCCACCGAAGTCATAAAGGCAACCTATTAAGAGATGTAAATACTATATATGAGAGGATCTATATAAAGATATCGACCGGACGGACTGGCCCGCCAGCAGAGACTCCCACAGCCGGGCCCGGTGCTATCTCGTCGCCAGGCCTTGCCATCTCCACGTTCTCTTGGTGCTGACTCGAGGTTGACCAACGCCAAAACCAGTCCTTGATGCGCCTGCCCTGTCATCCCCAAGCTCTCCCATACCAAAGGCATGCCTATCTCCTGGTCAAGGGTGGTTCACTTGGTTTTTAATGCCCCTCTGCCCCACCCCTTCACTGTGAATGCTTCAGCCAGATGTCAGCCCTGATCCCAGGGACGGCGCCTTTGGTGAGGAAGGGCCGGTGGGTGGCCTGTGGAGGTTGCACAGAGGAGGGCTGCTGTGAGTGGTGCTCATGGGGCAGGTCTGGTACTTGACTCCAACGTGGAGCTGCTGGGGAGCAAGTGCTTTACTTTGTATGTCCGTACTGTCTCGGGCTGGCGCAGTCAAGCAAGGCACTGGCCGGGGCATGGGGCAGGTTAGCCATGGTGCCTGGTGTGTCTGTATAGAAGAGAGTCACGCTGACAAGTGACAGTATTTTATAGAGATGTGATGAAAATTTATAAATTTCATAGACTGACTTCATTTATTTTTAGATTGTATAATGCACAGTAAATGTAAAAAAAAAAAAGTGAGGGGGGAAAAACCTTTTTATTTATTCAAGTGCATACAAGTGGCATTGGCCCATCCTCTTGGTCAGTCTGTATTGCTGCTCCGTGGCCCTTCAATGCCACAGCTGGGTTGACACCTGCCCCCACGCCTGGAGCAGCCTCCCTGGTGCTTGGGAATGAATGCACTGTGGGTGAGCAATGAGGGCAAAGGCCAACTTCACATGAAGGCAGGAGAGCTGTTCTGATGCTTCAGAAGTTGCCAACAGGGTTATGGTTATCTGGTCCCTCCAGTGCTGCAGTCTTTAATAGTCCTGGGTCTCAGTTGAACAGTGTTTGTGCATTTTCCTGGAAAGTGTGTCCAGAAGCCCTCCGTCCTCTTGAAGGGCAATCAGCCAAAGGTCCTGGCTGGTAGCAGGGCCTGGACCCCCAGCCGGGGGTGCTTCAGGCTTAGATGGGTTCAGTCAGAGCCCTGCTATTCTGGTGCTTGTCCCCATGAGATAGCACCACTAAGGAACATGGGAATCCCAAAAAAGCCTCAAGTTCCTAACTTCCCCAGCCTGGCCAGCACGGCTCATCCTTCCAGATACGGTTGCCAGGGGCCCTTGGCCTGCCTGGGAGGGCAGATGTGGCAAGCCTGGCTTGGGCTCACTCCTGATCCCTGGAGGCAGGGCTGGAGCCAGCCTTTCGGGGGGTTGTGGAACACAGGCCCAAAAGGGTGCAGAACAGGCCTGGCTGTTGACTCCCCTAATTTCCTCGGGTGCGTAGATCCCTGTGTACCAGGGGTGATGCCTGGCCCAGAGCAATAGTCAGGCTGTAGATGGTGCTTAGACAGGTTCTCATAACTGGCTGTCTTGTAACTGCTGCCCTGGCTCCCTTACCTCCAGGTCTGTGCTCTTGGCACACGAAGGTGCTGTGCTCACCCCACATCCTGCAGTGTCCTCCAGCACAGGGCTCCCTTAAAAAGCTACAGGGTTAGCAGTAGCAAAGTTGCAGCATATAGCGAGTCCCTGGTCTGGAATCAAGCAACCCTATAAACACTGCATCCCTTCTGTGATAACTGTGCCACCGCGCAGGACTTCCTACTGACGTGTTATATCTGTGTTCCCCACACAACCATGTCTACCCAAGCGCCGGGGTCTCCTTTCTGTGCCCACCCTACAGCCTTCCTGACTGTGAGATTGATCAGCCGCTGTTGGCAGTGGGCGGCAGCAAAGGAGTGGGGTGGGGTGCATGAACAACCACCCCCCTGTGGAGAACAGGTTCTAGTCTCCTCTGGGCAGAGACCAGTGCTGCTCTGACTATGGACAACTTCAGGGAAGCCCAGGGCTCTGAGGGTGCTTTGCTCAGGAAAACCTAACTCTGAAGACCCTCCAGTCAGGAGCCAGCCTTCCCTTCCAGCTATGACTTATGATTTATTTAAGACCCGCTCGCCCTTTAATTTATCCAAAGTCCAAAGGAGACTGTTCATCCACCCCACCCCCACCCCCAGTCCCATGGTCCATCCATGCTGGCTTATGTCAAGTGTCTCGGACCAGCCTTGCTTTGTCCTTCTGGTAGACCGTGTTTCACTTGGGGTTGCTGGTTTGACCCTCTTTTCGTAAGGGAACCCCACTGTACTCTGATTTCCATCTCCAGACTGTAATAAAATGTTTGTTTTCACTTGAACCTGGTCTACTGGCATTTCTCACATGGTGTGACCTTAGAGGACCTTGAGGGCTCCATATGTGATGCATGGTAACATCCAGCAGAGGCCCCACATGCACCTGAAAACAGCTTTTTTGACTTGGGCGGTGAGTACTCAGGGAGACCTACCATGTTTCCCCGAAAATAAAACATCCTCCGAAAATAAGACCTATTTACAGGTTTCCTTCTGAGTGAAATATAAGGCATCCCCCCGAAAATAAGGCCCCCCCCTAGGCTCTGTCTCAGAATGAAAATTAATTTACCATAAACTGGTCACTAGGGCCGCCCCGACTGACGTCTAGCAACCAGTGACATTACACCGAGTCCTGACGTCACTGCTGTGTGGAAGCGGAGCAGAGGGCGGAGTGAGCAGTGAGCTCGGGGCGGGAGAGAGGAGGAGACTTTTGCAGATGCGTGTAGAACAGGATTAGAGCAGATGGGAGGCGAAGGTGGTGAGTGCTGGTCTGTCTCTGGTGCTCGTGGCCGCCCTCATGATGACTGAAGGTTCTCAGTCAGTGGCAGACTCTGCTCCAGCCCAGATCCAGGCCCCAGCAAGCCCAGAGACAGTCCTCAGGGGGTAAATGTCTGATAAAGGGGTAGGGGGGATGCCTGGTGAAGGTGTTCAGTGGCACAGGGGTGGGGGGAGGGGGATCACCTAAAATGACACAGGAAGATCAGAGGGAGCAATCAAAATGACACAGGAGGATCAAAAGGGGTTACTACCATGTTTCCCCGAAAATAACACATCCTCCGAAAATAACACCTACTTACAGGTTTCCTTCTGAGTGAAATATAAGTCATCCCCCTGAAAATAAGCCCCCCCCCACCCCCACCCCGGCTCTGTCTCAAAATGATTTAATGCTACCGCTTGTCATACGAGGGAGTCACAGAGGTATGCTAGTCTGGGATGCAGCCAGCACTCACTGTGCTAAAGACATGAAGACATTTCTTCACGAAAGAAAAATAGATGATTCCCGCAGGAATGACGGCCTACCTCCAGACTCTTGATATTGCAATAAAGAAGCCATTCAAAGACAATTTGCACATGGAAATTAATGACTACATTGAAAATAGAATGGAGAGAAATCAGCGTGGAAACTTCGTGAAACCTAAACTGCAAGAAGTTGTGACTTGGGTGAAGAATTCATGGGAGAAAATCACTGACAGTTGCATTGCAAATGCACTGGGAGCAGGCTACCTTGACAAGAAGTACTCATTTAAAGCCGAAACCAGTTTGGCTCAGTGGTGGAGCGTTGGTCTGCAGACTGGGGGGTCCCAGGTTCGATTCCGGTCAAGGGCATGTGCCTGGGTTGCGGGCACATCCCCGGTGGGGGGTGTGCAGGAGGCAGCTGGTCGATGTTTCTCATCAACGTTTCTGGCTCTCTATCTCTCTCCCTTCCTCTCTGTAAAAAATCAATAAAAATATACATTTTTTAAAAAGAGATATCTTCTTTCACTTAGCAACACTCATTTCAGGTTCCTCTTGACTTTTAAAAAAATAATAAAAAAATAATAATAAAAATAAAGACAGTGCTATTGCTAAACATGATATGGTCCACTGATTCTGAAAGAAATGGAGACACAAGAAATTCACCAGGAAATTTAGGAATTGCATTTTTATGTTCCAGAAGATGATGGATGACATGATTGTCATTGAATAAATGAGTAAATTCTTGATACTGCAGGATTCACAGTTTGTCTGATTTGTGTTGACAACTACCATACTACCATACCATATACAGATAATAAATTTCCTTTATTTTCATTTAACAATAAATGTGTACCGTATTCTCCATGGAAAAGACAAGACATCCCCTGAAAATAAGACCTAGCGCATCTTTGGGAGCAAAAATTAATATGACACTGTCTTATTTTCGGGGAAACAGTATCTGTCTAGGTCAGGTCTCCCCACCCGCTAGACGGCACTTCAATGAAAAACCAAACCCTGCCAGGACCGGTTTGGCTCAATGGATAGAGCGTCGGCTTGGGGACTGGGGGGTCCCGGGTTCGATTCTGGTCAAGGGCATGTGCTTTGGTTGCGGGCATATCCCCAGTGGGGGGTGTGCAGGAGGCAGCTGATCGATGACTCTCTCTCATCGATGTTTCTGACTCTCTGTACAAAATCAATAAAATATATTTAAAAAAAAAAAAAAAAAAACCAAACCCTGCACTCAAAAGAATCAGCCTGTGACCAGAGATGGGATCCCGGGCCACCTGGGGATCCCATCACCCCTCGGGGCCCTTGAGCCTCCCTGACATTCTAGGCTCTAGGTTCTGTGTCTCCTCCCCTCCATTTGGATGGCCCTGGTCCTTCCTCCCAGGCACTTGAACCTCGAACCACCTCTTGTCCCCCAGGAACCTTACTTCCCTTGGAAACCCGCTCCACCAGCCTGTGGAGGACATGTCCCTTTTGCATTCACTGCACACTGTCCCATGTGGAAAAGAGGTACCTTTATTTGAATAGAACAAATACACCAGCCCAAGGGCAAATGCTTGTAGCTCTGCCCAGAGGTGTTGGCCGGGCCCTGGCCCTCAGCAGAATTCACAGCAGCCCAGAAGTTAAGGCTCCTAAGCCCTTCACAGCATTATCTAGGTTTGTACATTCAGCCTGCACAGGGCAAGAGAGCTGCACCACCTTCAGGAGCTCAGCAGGCACTAGGTGGGTGAGCCTGAGGAATCAAGCACAGCTCCTGGGCATTGTATACCCGCCCTCAAGCAGCAGCATGTGGCACTGAGGCGCTGATGGGTCCCAAGGCACAGCCTCTGCCCACCCTCACAAGCCTGGAGCTACTGAAGTCTTTAAGTCAAAACACCTTGCTCCAAAAATCCAGGCTTGGCCAGGAAACCCATCACCTGGTGAGGATAGGGAGGGCTCCTTTGAGCCTCAGTGAGTCAAGCTGAGGAGCCCAACCCTAAACCCGATTCATGCCTTCAAGCCACTCAGCTGGAACCGGGCCTCCTCCGATATGCCGAACTGTTCCAGGGGGTCCTGTGTGATGGAGAGGTAGCATGAGCCCTGGCTCAGGAGCGCCCCCCCCCACTCCACCACCACTTCCCGTGCCCCAAGCACACCTTGCCAGTCATCTTCTGGATCTCATTCCTGTAGAAGATGAGGCTCCTGCGCATGAATTCGTAGCTGGGAAAGGAAGTGGCCTGTGTGCACAGAGCCCAGCTCTGCCCTTGCCCCAGGAACCCAGGCCAGGATATACCCCACACCCTACCTGGCTCGACGAAGAGCTCCCATCCACTCCTGACACTGCTCCTCGCTGTAGCACTCAAAGTGATACTTCCTCTCCGGGTCCTCGACGAAACCTGCAGAGGAAGGGGCCCATCTGTCCCAGCTCACTCCCACGCCACCGGCCTCAGTTTCCTGTTGCCACGTCTACAACTGTCCCCTCCTCTAGACACAGCTTGGGCTCACCGCTTCCCACAGGCTATACACTGTATCCTTCCAAACGAGTATGTTCAAAACCTAGCTCCTGGAACCTGGGAACAGAGCCTATTTGGGTATAAGGTTGTTGCAGGTGTAATTAGTTAATGTGAGGACATAAAAAGGAGATCTGGACACAGACGCAGGGTAAAGGCCACAGGACTATGAAGGCAGAAATCAGGGTGGCACTTCTACAGGATTGCCAACAGCCTCCAGAAATCGGAAGGGCCTGGCTCCCGGCTCAGAAGGAACCAGTCCTGCAGACACCCCAACCTCGAACTCCTACCTTCCAGCATTGGGAGAAATAACGTTTTGCTGTTGAAGCCTCACAGTCTGTGGCACGTTAAGGCCACTACAGAAAATTAAAAGTTCTGCCTTTCTCTGCAGACTCGATCCTCCCCAAAGTGACTCAGGATAATCCTCTGGGGTCCCCAGCCGGGCACTGAGAACCGGTGTTCCGCGGTTCCCAGAGGAACCCGGAGAGGGCAGTGCTCGCCCACAGAAGTGAAAGCCCTGGAGGCGGACTTTGTTTATGGGGAGGGGCAGAGCGGAGCTCGGGTCCCCGCCCCCCGCACTCACTGATGGAGAAGCCGCTGGGCTCTTCCTGGGTGACTCTGCAGTGCTCCAGCAGGAGAGCTCCGACGGGCTGGGGACAGAGGAGCCGGATGGGCGGGCCATCCGGGGACCCAGCTCCCCAAACCCCAGCCCGGGGCCCGCCTTCCCGCCGCCCTACCTCGGCCTCGTCGGTCCGGAAGTAGAAGAGGAAATTGACTACCAGCTTCACCAGCCGCCGTTTCACCACTGCGGATACAGGGCGGGCTCTCGCGGGCTCGGTGACAGCCCATCCCGCCCCAACCGGCACCCCCGTCCGCCCGGCCCCCGGCTTACAGCCCTTACCCCACTCACCGCTGCCCTTCTTGGGGCCTCGCATGCCGAGTTCGGCTGCCAGCTCAGCCGGCTGCCGGGACAGCGCCTGCAATTCCTTCTCGTTGTAGCGCATGGCGGCCCAGGACCCAGAACGCTGAGCGCGGGCCGCGATTTCCCGGCCGCCGCGCCAAAAAAGTCCCACAGCGCCGCCCCGGAAGCGCTTCCAAAGCTATTGCGCCTGCGCTTCCCGGACTTCTCAATCAGTACATCACCGGGGAGGGGCACTAGCGCCCGGGGGTGAGGGTGGGAGTGGGGCACAGAAACAGAGTGGAACCCTCGTCGGGCGTAGGGGATAGCGGGCGACACGACGGTCATTATATTGGGCCGGGTTGGAAAGTAAGCATCCCTACTGAAATGGACCGGAACAGGCCTAGGAGGGCAAGTCCCAGCCCTCCGAGTTAGACTGACTGAGAGGTGTTTTGGTTCGTGGTGTTTTTTTGTGTGTGCTTTAGTTGTTGAGCCTCGTGGGCATGCGCACTCCTGCTTCCGGTGCCTCCCCCACCTTTCCCTCTCACTTCCGGAGTGTCTTGCCTGTACTCACGAGCGGGCGGAACTTGCGCACAAGAGAAGTCCCGCCCCGTTTGCCTCCGGAAGTGCTTCTTTAGGCCGCGCTTGTCCACTGGACGAAGTCGTAGCGGCCCCGTGGCGGGTGAAAAGGCGACGGATCGCGGCCTCGGGTGCAGGTGAGGAACGAGGCGAGAGCGGCGGCCCTGGAGCCCGGAGTGCCCTGGAAGGGCGCCTGCGGCGCGGCTGAGGGCGGGCGGGCGGGCGCGTTGCCCACTCCTCAGGAATGGCAGGTCTCTGTGTCCCTGGCACCCACCGCTCACTTGAAACACCGAAGGCCCGCTGCTGAGATCCGGTCGCGGGCGCAGCTCACAGGGCGCCTTCCGAGTAACCGCGAACTTCTCGGAGCATTAAATTGCGTCCGTTAGTTTGACTGGCTTTGTGGTCCGAGAGTCACACGGTGCCGCTGAGCCCCAGGGTCTGTACCTGGCATGGGGGTAAAGGTGGTCACGGATTCCAGGCCAGCTAAGTAAGAAAGAAGGCTCTGAGGACAGAGTGCCCCACCGCACCCAAGGCCACAGAGCCCGTCAGCTGGCCCCTTTTCGCCAGCGAAGCCCCGAGGTTACATGACTTTCCTACTGAGATGCCAGGACCGTTCTTTCCGATACCCTCTGGCAGCGCAGAACGAGGGAGAGGAGTTCCCGACGTTAATAGTCTGTTTGCCTTGTTTAAGGAGATTATGACCTGCTCATAAAAGCGGTCATTCATCCCTGCATCCTCCTTGGCCCCAGAGGACGCCTCTGCTCAAAGCTGAAAGCCGGCTTTCTGGGAGTGTCGCTTTTAGACAGCCTTTTGGCTTCTTTCTGAGATCGATGAGGTCTGATTTCCGCTCCCCTCCTCCCCATCCAGGCCAACTTCACCCTCCATACCTGGATGTATTTATGTCATGAGCGTTAGTCAATCATTAGTTCTGTTTTCACTTATTATTATTTTTTTATCGATTGATGTCAGAGCAAGGAAGGGGGAAAGAGAAACATTGATTTGTTGTTCCACATATTTATGCATTTATTGTTTAATTCTTGTAAGTGCCCTGACGGGGGAGCAAATCCAGACAGTGCTCTGTTTCTGAGGCTGGAAATATTGTTCACTATTAAGGCAAGTCACATGTTCATCTGTGTTGCTTTTCCTGTACTGTTCATTCTCGACCCACCCCACCCTCCAAAGCTAATTCATGTCTTCATCTTTTCTGTTAGCTTGGTTTTTAATTTTTTCAAATGTATATTTTATTGGGGGTTTTTTTTTGTTGTTTTTTTACAGAGAGGAAGGGAGAGGGATAGAAACATCGATGAGAGAGAAAGAAACATCAATCAGCTGCCTCCTGCGCACTCCTCACTGGGTATGTGCCTGCAACCAAGGTACATGCCCTTGACCGGATTAGAACCTGTGACCCTTCAGTCCACAGGCTGACACTATCTACTGAGCCAAACCGGTCAGAGCTTGGTTTTTAATTTTTATTTATTGATTCAAGAGGAGACTTGGATTTGTTGTTTTGCTTATCTATGGTTGCCTCTTGTATGAGCCCTGACTGGGGATCAAGCCCACAATCTCGGTATATTGGGATGATTCTCTAGCCAACTGAGCTACCTAGCCAGGAGCCTGATTTTCTTTGCCGGCTGTTAATTTTTTTCCTCAAAGCTCCAGCACTTCACATAACAGTAGGTGGTATTTTTCCACAGTTTTAAAGGAATTGATCCTTTTATTTTATTTTCCCCAAACCCTGCACTCTGCTACTCCACAGTTGTTCTAGAACTTTATGTTAGCACTCTCTTGAGTTGGCTTGTTTTCAATCTGACCATTTTTTTCTCTTCCTACTATAAGCTCATCTGGTAGTTTTTGAAGAAATCGATTGACCAGTGGGTTGATTTTGAGTCCTTGTTATTTGAAAACTAGAGACCCAGCACACAAAATTCTGGGTGCAGGCTTAAACCGGCAGTCAGACATCCCTCTCACAATCCTGGACCGCTGGACTACCTGCCTGCCTGCCTGATCGCCCCTCACTGCCTCCCCTGCCAGCCTGGTCACCCCTAACTGTTCCCCTGCCAGCCTGATTGCCCCTAATTGCCGCCCTCTGCCGGCCTGGTCGCCCGTTTGGTTATGATGGTTGCTTGGCTCTTATATAGGTAGATGGCTTTGTTTACCCTCACAGTTTGGGTATGAAATTAAAATTCTGGGTTGAAGATCCACATTGAGACCTGTGAGAATGTTGCTCCTTTTATGAGTTCAGTGCTGTTCTGAAAGCCGGCCTTTACCGTTATGAATAACACTGGCCCGGTTCTTCTTTGTGACCTATTATTTCTTTGACTAATGGAAACGGGTTTTCCTCAGTGGTGTAAAGTTTCTTGAGCCACTTATTGAAGAAGGTCTTTTTGTTCTGTGGGAAGAATTAGATCCTTCTAGTCCTGGGGCATTTTCTTTTAATCCTTTGGTAATTATCTTTGATAATACTCTCTCTTTCTGTTTTCACTCTGGAATTCCATTTAGGTTTTTACTGTGCTCCTCTCTTTTCATTTTTTTGTTCTCCTTTATGAGAGATTTCTTTGACCTTCAAGCGCTTGTATTCAATTATTTGGATCATCCAGTCTCTACTTTCCAAGGGCTGACTTTTGGCATCCTGTTCAAGTTTCGTGGTCCAGTAACTTCTCTGATAATTCAGGAGGGTGCTATCATCTTCTCTTGAGTTTTCCATTAGGTTTCTTGTTCCTTGGATATGTTTGATGCTTTGTGTCTGTTCTGTGAAGTTATCAGCTCTGTGTGGGAGAGCCGTGCTTCTTATCTTGTGGCTCTCACTGCTCAGTGGGCCTGGCATGGGAACCCCCTGCTGTCAGTGAGAATACTTTCCTGGCCTTCTTTACTCAGAAACGCCTTCTACAGTGCCCTCAGCTGGGCCTCCGGGCGGGCTGCCTGCCTGCTAGACACAGTGGGAGGAAGGACAGTCTGCCTGCGGGCCAGTAGGCTGTTTTTTTGTTGTTGTTTGTTGTTGTTGTTTTAATATATTTTATTGTTTTTTTACAGAGAGGAAGGGAGAGAGATAGAATCATCAATGAGAGAGAGTCATCGATCAGCTGCCTCTTGCACACCCCCTACTGGGGATATGCCCAAAACCAAGGTACATGCATGCCCTTGACCGGAATCGAACCCGGGACCCTCCAGTCCGCAGACTGACGCTCTATCCACTGAGCCAAACCGGTTTTGGCAGTAGGCTGGTTTTGATGGACTTCCCACTTTTCAACCTGGCCCTCATCCCCAGCCTCTCTTGTGCCTGCCTCTCTCAGCTGAGAGACCCCTCGTTCCATTTTTTCTGAATATAAAACTGATTTCTCTGGGGAGCTGGGTACCTGGGCAGGGACCTTCCTCTCAGTGGCCCTTCCTCTCAGGGTTCAGGGTGTGAGTTCTCATTTCATTCTGGGTGAGGGTGCTGCCAGGAGAGGGATAACGTGTACCATGGGCTGTGAGGAACCCACAGTTTGGGTTCCAGTCGTTACTGGTTTTTATTCTAGGTGAGCAGTTAAGTATTTGCTTGGGTTTGGATTTCCCTGAGCCAGATTCATTGGGTACTTCTCTCAGCACCAGCTGCCACTAGTGATTCAGGTGCTTATTCTGAAGGAACTGGGCTTGAGTCCCACAGTGACAGCTGGCCATATTTAGCAATGTTTACCACCTCTCTCCTTCCCCCCTCCTTCAGGTATCCCCCTAGTCCAGTAAAGCCCAAAGGCCTTCACCATGGACTTCCAACATCGCCCGGGGGGCAAGACCGGGAGTGGGGGCGTGGCCTCCTCTTCTGAGAGCAACCGGGACCGGCGGGAGCGCCTCCGGCAGCTGGCCCTGGAGACCATCGACATCAACAAGGTGAGGTGGGGCCCCGGGAGGTCCCCACAGCCTCCCCCTCACCATGGAGTCCTGTTCCGGATTCTCACACCTGTGACCTTGAGCAGTTGTTTGGCTCTATGGGCCTTGGTCTCCTAGTCGTTAAAAAAAGGAACTTGACCTAGAGCAGCAGGTTTCCAAGACTGCTGTTACCCTAAATTTCAAGGGCTTTTTTTTACTGTATGAGGTGTTTTGGTTTTGTTTATCTAATTAATCAGTGTCTTGGAGAATCTCCAGTGGGGAGGGCCAGGATGGCAGCACATGAGTTGCTCTCATTTCAGCCATAGGCAGTGAAGGGCAACATTTTAGTTTAACGTTTTACCAACACAGAGCTGTTGGTAGACCAGTTCTCCCCCTGGGAACAGCTGATACTGGGCAGCGTCATTGTGTGGTGAGCCATCCTAGGCGCTGTGAGGTGTCGAGCAGATCCCTTCCTCACTCAATGCCAGGAGCACTCCAGTCACAGATGTCTCCAGATACGTTGCCCAGGGATCCGGGTGAGAGCCTGGCAGCCAGTGTATGGTTCACGTAGACTTTGAAACCCTCAGAGGTGTGTACGGCCAGGCAGCCTCTCAAAGCCTCACTGGTTCTCTTACTTTCCCCATTTTCCAGATGAAAAAATAGTTGTGATGACAGAGAATGTGTCACTGTCAAAGATGACACGGCCCCTGAGCAGTGGAGTTAGAATTTGAACCCCACGGGTCTGCTCCCCATCAGCGATCAGCAGCACTGCCATGCTGCCTGGTTTATGGAGTCACCTGTCCAGCCCACAGGACTTGTAGAGACATGGGTCTCCATCGCCTTTCCCTTCACCCGCGTGCTGGTCCTCCTCTGCCTGTACCTGCCTTGTGCTGCAGCACTTGGAAGGCTGGTGGGTTGTGGCCAGATTCCTGCCCCCGTCCTGGAGATGGGTGACCAGCAGTGCTCCTTGGGCTCTGCCTCCTTCCAGACCCACAACTGCCACCCATGTGAGGCCAGGGACTCCTGGAGAACCCTTCTGCTCAGAGTAGGGGCCAAGGACCACAGTGTCCGCCCCTGCCCCCGGCGCTTATTGTAGATGCAGAGTCGTCCCCCAGCACTGCCCTGGCAGGCCCATGCCAAGCTGGCCCCAGTTTTCTAGTCCTTTGTCCCAGAACATCTGTCCCAGAGGACAGCAGCACCCTCCCTCGCCAGCCAGGGGAGAGCCCTGCTTCTCGGGCACTGCTCGTGGCAGGGAGGGCTCAGGTACCATCTCCCTCGATCTAATGGACTCTGCCTCCCTCCCAGGACCCTTATTTCATGAAGAACCACCTGGGCTCATATGAATGCAAGCTGTGCCTGACACTCCACAACAATGAGGTGAGTTCTCGGGGCCCATTGCCCCCACGGCCCTTCCCCTGTTCCGTGGAGAAGCTCTGGCAGGACGCGCTGCTCCCACCCCTCCTCCGCTTCTGCTTGTTAACCTGTTGTTCGTAACTCGGCCGAGGGTGGAGGGGGTGCTGGGGGCCGCCACTCACTCACTGAGCACAGCTTCCGGTGCATCTTCCTAGAAGAGATGCTGGTCACTCCACCGGAAAACCTGGGCCCTGCACTCCTGAGGCCCAGAGGCCACCAGAACTGTGAATTTGCTGCTTGTCCATTTTCCTTTAATGCCACTGGTGCCATTGTCATACAGATGTGAGCACATCTGGGAACATTTGACGCTGGGTTTTGAGGTCTAGTGGTGTAGCTCCAGTTCATTTCCTTCAAGGACTGTGAGGTTATCCATGTGCTAGTCGGACAAGTTCTCACGTTGGGTTCGGCATGCAGCGATGAGCAGGTCCTGTTTGTCCTCCCCGTGTTGGCGAACGTTTGCTTTGTTTTGGGATTTGTTCACAACTGTGGGCATTGTGCTGTTGAACAGCCTTTGTATGTCAGGTTCTCCCTTCTGCACTGTAGATACTGGGGCCCTGCTCCCAGGAGGCAGAAGGGAGAGCAGGACTGGTTGAGGGGCATCCAGGCCCCATCCCTGCTCACTTTGTCCCACTCTAGGGGAGCTACCTCGCGCACACCCAGGGGAAAAAGCACCAGACCAACTTGTGAGTATGTCACCCCTACTCCCTGCTCAAAGCCTTGGGCCCCGGGCTAGGAGCTGGCACTTCTCTACGTGTCTGTGAGCCACACCAGACAGTGGCACAGAGGTAGTTTGGGGCCAGCCTGTCCTGTGATCAGTACATTGTGGGAGGAACGGGATATGCTCCTTACCTAGCAAGGAGAAGGGTGTGGGTCCTCAGAAGGCTCCCTAGTAAGGAACAAGGGGAAATGTGACAAGAGGAGAAAGGTGCCCATGCCTGTCCCACCCATTTCCATTCAAACCTTGAGACACCCCCCACCCACCCATTCAACCCCACCCCACCCAACGCCCTCACTTAGCAGAGGCTCTCCAAGGTCGATGTGGGGGCAGGACGGCTCCTAGCACCTGGGCCTGTGGCCTTGGCGTCGTGTGTGTGTGTGTGTGTGTGTGTGTGTGTGTGTGTGTGTGTGTGTGTGAGAGAAGGAGCAGCAGCACTGTGTCCGTCATGCCTATAGGGCCCGGCGAGCAGCCAAAGAGGCTAAGGAGGCCCCCGCCCAGCCAGCACCAGAGAAGGTCAAGGTAGAAGTGAAGAAGTTTGTGAAGATCGGCCGCCCGGGCTATAAAGGTAAGTCTGTTTGGGGGTAGGTTGGCCCACATTTGTCCAGAACCCTGGTCCCGCCCCTGAGCCGTATACACACTGCTGTTCACTGGCCTTCATTTGCTCAGACCTTTCATTGCTTTCAGAAACCAAACACCCCACTGGGGTCCCCCCTCCATGTGAACTTTCTCAAATGTGACCTTGTGGATGCCACTCCCCTGTGCGCCTATCAGGGTGTTATGAGAGCTCAGTTATTTGCACTCTTAGTGAAGATGAGTGATGTGTGGGAGGGGCAGTGAGCCCCTTTCCTGTGAGCATAGAACTAGGCCCTGGCTCCTCTGGACCTGAGGAGAGAGGGGAGTGGGAGGGCAATGGTCTGTGTCAGTGGCAGCTTACTCAGCAGGGCCATTGGCAGGGAACGGGCTCTGGGTTACTTAGTTCAGAAAGCTGGTCATATGACCCTGTTGGAATATAGGGGACTATGTTCTAACAACATGTGTGTGTCTGCACTGTAGCAGGGCACAGCGTGCACACCAGCTTATGAACCAGGGCTACAATGGCAGGGTCCACGTGGGGCCACCAAAGGCCTTTGGCTGTGGTAGACTGTCAGTTTCTGCCATGAGTGTAGTGGGGAGAACCTGAGGGGCTTACAGGGAAATTTTACATGCCTGGGAGCTGTGCAGAGAACAGCCTGAAAGCCACAGGACTCTGATATGAAGGGCACCTCTCCCGGAGGCAGGGTTGCAGGCCTCACTTGCCCCACACACCTGGTGCCTCCTGTCTTCAATTCCTGCTCAGTGCTCAGTGCTGCCCCAGGCCCCGGGGGGATTAGGGCAACTGCAAGCCATTCTCCCACCACCACTTCCATGGTCTCGGGCAGGTGGCACCTATAGCACAGAGCTCTCCCAGGCCTGGTTGGGGCCCTACAGCCAGGTGACCTCCCCTGCCCTCCGGGGTCCTGAGCTTTGGGAGGGTGATGAGCTGGCCTGGACCTGAGACCTCTGTGTGTTGCAGTGACCAAGCAGAGGGACACAGAGATGGGCCAGCAGAGCCTCCTCTTCCAGGTGAGACGAGGCCCAGGGACCAGTCATGAGGGGAGGGGCTCCTGGGAAGCAGTGCTGCCATTTGGCTGTATCCCCACAGATCGACTATCCTGAGATCGCTGACGGTATCATGCCACGCCACCGCTTCATGTCTGCCTACGAGCAGAGGATCGAGCCCCCAGACAGGCGCTGGCAGTACCTGCTGATGGCTGCCGAGCCCTACGAGACCATTGCCTTCAAGGTAGCTTGTGCTGCCCACTCCAGAGGTGTCCTTCCCAATAGGGGCTGCTTCTGGGGTGGGAAGGGTGTCCTAAGATGGTGCCCCCATCAAGAGCAGTGCAGCTTCTGTGCTGGGCTGGTCAGGGATTCCTTGACCGTGTCCTGTGCCCTAACAGACACTGGTGAACACAGTATTGTAAACCATTATTTAACTGGGGTGATGGGGGTCACTAGGCAGCAGAGCTAGAATGTAAGCTGTGTCTGGTTCTCTAAAACCAAGCCCTCTTCCTTCATGAAGGGCTCTCTCTGCTGGGCCTGCTCTAACACCTGGGAGCAGTCCCTGCCATTTTCCACCCCTTTCCCCCACCCCCATCCCACCCCCGCAGGTGCCAAGCAGAGAGATTGACAAGGCCGAGGGCAAGTTTTGGACTCACTGGAACCGGGAAACCAAGCAGGTAAGTCACTCTAGGTCCAAGCAATTCAAGGAACTTCCGGTGGCTGTCCTGGCCATCCTCTCTCCCCTCCCATGACCCCCAGTGCTCCATTCAGCTTTTTCGTGTTTTTTTCCAGTTCTTCCTCCAGTTCCACTTTAAGATGGAAAAGCCTCCAGCCCCGCCAAGCCTCCCGGCTGGGCCTCCTGGGGTGAAGCGGCCACCACCCCCACTGATGAATGGCTTGCCCCCTCGGCCACCACTGCCTGAGTCTTTGCCTCCACCCCCACCAGGAGGCCTGCCTCTGCCCCCCATGCCACCCAATGGGCCTGCACCTGCAGGGCCCCCGGGCCCTCCCCAGCTGCCCCCCCCAGCTCCTGGAGTCCACCCTCCAGCACCAGTGGTCCACCCACCAGCATCTGGGGTTCACCCTCCAGCTCCTGGGGTCCATCCCCCAGCACCGGTGGTCCACCCACCAGCATCTGGGGTCCATCCCCCTGCTCCTGGGGTTCACCCAGCCCCAGGAGTCCATCCTCCAGCCCCAGGAGTCCACCCTCCCCCATCTGCTGGAGTTCACCCCCAGACCCCAGGGGTACACCCACAAGCTTCTTCAGTCCACCCCCAGGCCCCCGGGGTACACCCCCCAGCCCCGGGGATGCACCCCCAGCCACCTGGGGTACACCCCCCTCCTCCAGGGGTTCATCCTCAAGCTCCTGGGATTCACCCCCAGCCTCCTGGAGTTCATCCCTCCAATCCCGGGGTCCATCCCCCAGCTCCCATGCCCCCAATGATGAGACCCCCACTGCCCTCCGAAGGCCCTGGAAACATTCCACCCCCTCCCCCAGCCAACTGAAAAGCCACCCCCTCTCATTGCAGGTCTACTTTCCTGTTTCCCTATCTCTCCTCCCCGATCGAGTTTGGTGTTTGTACAGGCTGTGCCGTGTCCCTAGATCTCATTAAACAGCCTTCTCAGAAGCCTGGCTGCACTGCTGTACCCATGGTGTGGGCAGGGGCGCTGTGGCATGGCCCCTCCGCCGTATGTGGGAGTGGTTCGGGGTCAGGCTTCCAAGACTCCGTGGCCATCAGGACACTGGTGGGTGTTCCAACATGTCCTCTGTGTCCTGGAATTCCAGATGGAAGACGGACATTGCCCACAGGGGGACGGGGGTCCAGCCTGTGGGAGGAGAGCAAAGCAGAGGGTGTTCTGTCCTCGGGGTCTCCAGGCCAAGATGCCGGAGCTCCTTTGGCACCTTGGTTCCTGAGGGCAGGAGGCGTGGACAGGAGACTTGAGAGCTCCAGCTGAGCCTGGAGACCTCCCACCTGGTGGTCTGAACACACCGAGACAACCGGTGTCTTGGGTCTCAGGGAGGGGCCTCTGCCCTCCTCCAGGCCCGGCCCTACAGCTGTTGTTTGGTCCATCTGGGCTGGTCACTCCCTGCTCACATTCCCACTGCTGTCTCCGGAGAGAAAACCTCAAGGACAGTTGAACAAATCGGTCACAAGCCACACTTTCTATCACTGGTGGGAAGGAGATAGGGGCCCGAACAGAAGGGGCTTTGAGCGGGCCCAGGCTTGGAGGGGAGCTCAGGCACTGGCCCCCAAGGTCACCTCCTGGGAGGCGACAGGGGCTGTCCTCCACACAAACACCCTGGGCTGGCCCATATAAGCGGAGTGGCCAAGCCCCTGACAATTCCCAGGATGAGGGCTGCACCTCTCTCTCTGCCGGTCCTGCTGCTATGGGCGATGGGGACCCTGATGGGGGCTGGGACCCCTGGAGAAGAAACACCTGGGGAGCCTGCAGCCACTGGGGGTCTCATCTTCCACCAAGACTGGGACTGGGCAGCCCCCCAGGTCTTGCCTCCACGCAGTCAGCGAGACTCCCTATGCCTGGTGACGCTGGCTGGTGGCAGCAACGGCAGCCGCGCCCCCCTCCGGGTGACGGGAGCCCTGAGGGGCTACGAGCAGGCCTTCCTGGAGGCCGTGCATCGGGCCCACTGGGGGCCTGGTGACCTGGCCACCTTCGGCGTCTGCACCCCTAGCCACGAGCACGCTGCGCTGCCCCTTCTGCGGTGGCTTAGAGTGTGGCTGGGGGAGCCCCGGGGGCAGCAGCTGGCGGTCCTGCACCTGGAGGAAGGTATGGGGTCCCCTGGCTGAGGCGGGGCAGGCGGCTCTGCTGTGGTCCCTAGCCATCATTCCATTACACGATGGCCATTACTTTCCCAGGGAAGACCCTAGGCCCCTCTCTGACCTGGGGAAGTTGAAGCCTATGGCCCTGCTCACTTGGGCTGGGCTGAGCCTGCAGCCTGGGAGGTGTGGGCCCTTATCTTTGCCAGTGAATGCTGGGCTCCCAGACCACCCCCCTGCGCTGCCGGGGAAGGTTCCACTCCGGGAAGGAGCCCTGGGGCTGGGCCAGCAGTGGAGGATGCCCCTGTGACAGCAGGTAGCCCAGAGTAAGAGGTGGCCTGTCCTCAGGGGCCATTGACCTCAGATACACTTCCAGGAAGGGGCTGCCCACGTGACACATGGACCTCCACTCAGGAGGTCCCCAAACCCAAGAGACCTCAAGGGTTCAGGGATGACAGGCAGCAGCCCACCACCCACCTTGTCAGTCCTACCACCCATGTCCTGGCAAGGACCTGCACCTTGTGTTGAGGTGTGTCCACCCCCGTGAGTGTCCCAAGGCTCCCAGTTGGGGTGGAGCTCTCCCTCCCTGAAGGACAGACAGGCTTAGGCGAGGGGCTCAGGCCTCAGCAGCTCAGCTGTCCTTCCCCATTATCCTGGCGGCAGTGACGTGGGAGCCAACACCCTCGCTGAGGTTCCAGGAGCCTCCATCTGGAGAAATCAGCCCCCCGGAGATGGCGCTGCTGGTGGTGTACCCCGGGCCCGGCCCAGAGGTCACTGTAACGGGAGCCGGGCTGCTGGGCACCCAGGTATCAGGGTTGAGTTGGGCATTCCTTCACCCCCAATAACCCTTACCCATAGCAGGAGGGGAGGGGTGGTTCAACCGTCTTCACCGGGGGAAAGGCTCCAGGGGTCCAGGGTAGACCCTGGAAGGGGTGCTAAGGGCAGAGAACAGAGCATGGCTGGCATCCTGCGCCCCGCCCAGCCAGGCTGAGCTCCCATCTCCTCAGAGTCTCTGCCTGTCCCGGGACACCGGCTACCTGGCGCTGGCAGTGGACCGCCCCGCGGGGGCCTGGCAGGGCGTGGGTCTTGCCCTAACGCTTCGGCACCGCCAAAACGGTAGGCTGGGAGAAGAGGGAGCGGCGCGGGCCGCTGCCCTGGACCCCAGCTCCTGACTCGGCCCGGCGCCCTCCCCCCAGGTACCGCCCTGAGCACCGCGCAGCTGCAGGCGTTGCTGTTCGGCGCCGACCCCCGATGCTTCACGCGGAGGACCCCGGCCCTCCTCCTGTTGCCGAGGCCCGGGCTCACGGCCATGCCCGCGCGCGGTCAGCTGGACACAGTGCCCTTCCCGTCGCCCAGGTGCGCCTTGGCCCAGCCCGGGGGCCCGGGGAGGTGGGTGGGGACAGCTGAGCCCACATCCAGTCTCCGCCTTTCAGTCCCACCCCAGAGCCCGAGGAGCCACTCCCTGGCGCCGGCACCGATCCCTTCCTGGAGACACTCACGCGCCTGGTGCGGACGCTACGGGGACCCCACGCCCGGGCCTCGCCGCCGCGCCTGGCCCTGGACCCCGCCGCGCTGGCCGGCTTCCCGCAGGGCCTGGTCAACCTGTCGGACCCAGTGGCCCTGGAGCGCCTGCTTGACGGCGGCGAGGAGCCCCTGCTGCTGCTGCTGCCGCCCGCCGCTGCCGCCGCGGGGGACCCCACGCCGCCGCCGGGCCCCGAGTCCTCGCCGTGGGCGGCCGACCTGGCGCGCCGAGTGGCCGCGGAGCTGCAGGCGGCTGCCGCCGAGCTGCGCGGCCTCCCGGGGCTGCCGCCCGCCGCCCCGCCGCTGCTGGCGCGCCTGCTGGCGCTGTGCCCCGGGGACTCGGGGGGGCCCGGCGGCCCGCTGCGCGCGCTGCTGCTGCTGAAGGCGCTGCAGGGCCTGCGCGCCGAGTGGCGCGGGAGGGCGTGGGGCGGGCCGGCGCGGGCGCAGCGCAGCGCGGGGGCCGGGGCCGCGGACGAGCCGTGCGCGCTGCGCGAGCTGAGCGTGGACCTCCGTGCGGAGCGCTCGGTGCTCATCCCCGAGACGTACCAGGCCAACAACTGCCAGGGCTCCTGCGGCTGGCCGCAGTCGGACCGCAACCCGCGCTACGGCAACCACGTGGTGCTGCTGCTCAAGATGCAGGCCCGCGGGGCGGCCCTGGCGCGCCCTCCCTGCTGCGTGCCCACGGCCTACGCGGGCAAGCTGCTCATCACCCTGTCGGAGGAGCGCATCAGCGCGCACCACGTGCCCAACATGGTGGCCACTGAGTGTGGCTGCCGGTGACTCCGCGCCGCGCCCCGAGCCGCGCCCCTGTCCGTATTTATTCGCCACCGAATCATCACCCCAATAAAGACCACAAGCGCACGGCGGAGGTGTCCGTGCACGTTTGGGCGGCAGGCGGGGCCTCCTCCAGCCGGCTCTCTGGCGCGCAGGGCCGGGTCATCGGTTGGCACTGCCTCCTCCCTTGGCTACCCCACCCCTGTCTGAGGTCCCCGTCCCAGGCATGCAGGCCCCGGGCTAGATCCGGGGCCGAGGTGCAAAGGAGCAGGCGACGTGGGGCCGCAGCACGCGCTTTATTTCGCGAGGACCAGGAGCTAACCCGGAAGACGTGCCGGGGTTCCTGCGCAGGGCCCGGGCCGGCTCAGTCGCGCCCCTTCCCGGCGCGGTGCTTCCGGCGGCCCGGAGGCCAGTCCTCGGCGCTGGGACGTCGCGGAGAGGCCCAGGCCTGCCTCTTCCTGTGCTTGGCCTCTCCGGAGTCCCGCTCCCACGGCCGATGGCCCTCTTCTCGTGCCTTCCCTCTCTGGGGCGGAGGTTCCCGGGGCTCCCTGACGGGCCGGGGCTTCTCCGGCTTCCATGGTCTCTCTTCGGTCCGCGGCCTCTCCTTGCGCGGCCTCTCCCTCCGCGGCCTCTCCTTCTGCGGCCTCCCCTGGGGCCCTTCGTGGGCGAGGGGCGCGCGCTCCCCCCCAGCGGCCTCCTCAGGGTCCCCGGCCTCCTTCCCTGCAGCCTCCGCACTCCGGGCAGCCTCTGTCTCCTCCGCCGGCATCGGGGGCGCAGCGGACCCCAGCGGGGGCGTCCAGGCCTCGGGCTTTAGCTGCAACCAGTGCGGGATGATGGAATCAGTGCAACCCGCCCCCCCCCGCACTCCCCTTCCTTCGGAAGAGGGTTCAGCGCCCGCAGTCGCTGAAGGAAATTCTTACCGGGGGCGACGCTGGCTTTTTTGGCGCAGAGCTTGGAGGGACCCATGGCGCAGGGGCAGGGGCAGGGGCGTCCGCCCCTCCAATCACCATGTCTAGAGGGGGTGGGGGGGTGTAGTAAATCAGCCGGCGCCAAGAGCCAGACACACGTCCGTCCCAGCCCTCTTCCCCGGGACAGACAGGTGCAGGGGCGAGCCGATGTTCCCCAGGACGCGGAGCTGGGCTGGCTTCCTCCGAGCCCTGGGCAAGCGTGCGGTCCCCGCTGCTGGGACCAAACCTCAGTGGCTAACGGACGGGGCCTATTTCTCTGCGGCTGCAGGTGCCGCCCTTGGTTATCCTGGGCGTGCACGGCCCATAGGGGGTGGGGGAGCATAGCCCAGGGAGGGAGGTGCACCAAGCTCCATTCTGGGAGGGGAAGGTCCCCTCCACTACAAGGTGCACAGTGTGTGTGTGTGGGGGGGGGGGGGCAAGCCCATCCTGGAGAGAGGGGCCCAGGCGGACCTCGGAGGTGCAGAGAGGAGGACCCCGCACACGGCCCATGCTGGGGAGACAGGGGGGTGACGTAGGAGGGGGACGTCTAAGATTCGGACCCGGGGGCACAGGCTCACCGCGACACAGCTGGAAGGCCGAGCCCAGCAGCGCCACCAGCGAGGCGAGCACCAGGCACTTGTTGAGCGACATGTCCCCCCAGGGCAGCTCCTCGCTCAGGGCCGGGGGCGGCGGCGGCGGCGGCTGCGGGGGCGGCGCGGCCTGGGCCTTCTTGCGCGCCGGGCTCCTCGGGGCTTCAGGAGCAAGTGCGGGGTTTGGGCGCGGTTCCCAGGGGCGGACCTGCACCCTGAACCCCGCTCAGCCCTGCCCGGTTGTGTGGCCCTAGGCAGGGGGCTGATTTGGCAGCTTCACTGGTATGCGAAGAATATTCTAGATCCTTAGCTGAAACTTAGCAGCACCTTAGCTGGTGTTATAATGATCTAGAGGCCCAATGCACGAAATTTGTGCAAGGGGCTAGGCTCCCTGCCACTTTGGCTGCTTCTGCCCCCGCCCCCACGACCCCCACTGCCTTGGCTTCATCCAGAAGGTCATCCGGAAGGATGTCCAGTCTAATTAGCGTATTATGCTTTTATTATAGATTAGCAGAAGCTCCCAGACCTTTCAGTTACTACCTGTGACACCTGGTCACCACGCAGCCAGGAGCCAACCTTGCAGCACCCTGTCCCCCCTTCACCCCAGATCAACCCACCCCCCCCACCCCCCGTCACCCCTGCCTCCTGCAAACCGACTTGCTCCTGCTTTCGGCCTCTCCTTGCCGGGTCCTGGGGCCCCTTTGGCCACAGACTCCTTTTCTGTCTTCTTGGGCCTGGTATCCACTTTACCCGCAGGGCTACCCTCCGCCTCTGGCTCCTGAGAATCCTGTGGGGAGTCACCAGTCACCTTGGGTATTTCCTTCCGGTCTTTCCTCGGAGGGAGCCCAAGCCCTTCCCGTGGGCTGCAGAAACCCACCCTCCTTGGCCAGCGTGTCCCTGATTCCAGGGGAGTTCTGGGCTGAGACCCCAGAGCCCCAGCTACTCACGTGGGACCAGCTGCCGGCGTCGGCCAGCCTGGGTGTCACTGTTAGTGGGGAAAGAGGAAGGAGACTCAAGGTCATGGGGACCCTCAGGCCAATCCCGCCCTCCTCCGGGCTCCGCTGGGCAAGGGGCAGGTGATGGCTCCCACTTGACGGCGGGCTCTGAGAGGCACACGCCGGTTCCCTGGCAGGCTGGGGTTGGAACCCCAACCGGTGTGTCCCGGCCCCTCTCTGGGGAGGGGGGGCGCTTCTTATAGGCACCAATGAGCCTACAAGGAGCTGCTAAGCTTATAACACCTGAGGCACCAATGAGCCAGAGGTGGGGAATGGGAGCACAGGTCACAGTCTAAGCCAGTGTGAGGGTCCAAGTCCCGCCTCTAAAGGTGAGCCATCTTCAGAATGGGGGGCGTGGTCTTCATCCTGCCAGCACCCCAAGGACACCGCCAGCCCAGTTCTCCGGGGGCTGCCTGGTCAGAGCTCAGCCAGGACAGAGAGGTCCTCACCCGCCTGGCAGCCCAGGCCTCCATCAGGCTTCTCCAAGGCCATGGTTGTCATGGAGATGTCTGAGAAGCAGCAGGTTCAGTTCAGACTCAAGCTGTGGAGGGGGCGGTGGATGGGAAAGAGGGAGCTTGCATTTACTGAGCCCCGGAGTGGGCCTGGGCCTGACTCGGGTGGGGAGGACCCTGAGTTCATGTATTACCGGCCTCTGCCTCCCCCCAGCCCTGAAGGACCCTCTTCGCGGAGCCCTCATTACCTGGCAAATTCACCTCAGGGCATGACCCGGTACACTCCCTGAGCCCCCAGGCTTGCCTTGGGACCCCTCCCCATTGGCTAGTCCCTCTGGGGCCCCAGCATCCCTGAGTACACAGTAGAGGCTGCTGGGACCCAGAAAGGATTAGGACCCACCCAGAGTCACAAAGAGATGAGCAAAGAGCTCAGACCAGAGCCCGGGGCCCCAGGCTCGGCTCATGTTCTCTGAGACCAGGGGCTATTTTTATCCGTTGCCCAGGAGCCGTGGGACGGGCCAGCGCGGCCCACCCCCTTCCAGACCTCTGCCCCCAAGGGATCTCCCTCTGGACCACTCTTACCTACTGTGCCTGGCACCTCGTTCCCCTCTGGTCCCCTAAATCTAGGGGCTCAAGTTCACAACAGGCAGGGGAACGGTGAGGGGGTCCCTGTCTCCTCTCACTGCCTCTCCTCCTTCAGAGCGGAGGAGGAAACTGAGGCTAAGGACGGAGGTACTGCCCAGAGGCCGCACGAGAGCCCGAGGTCAAACCCAAGTCTGTCGGCATCGCAAAGCCCTGCTTTTCAGGATCCCTGGCACCTCTGGCTGCCTGTTAGCGTGTCCCATCTCTGGGCAGAAAGGTGACTCTGCTCTGGTCTGGAGCAGGGCCGAGGAGGGGCCTCATGGGCAGGCGTGTGAACCCCTAGGAGTGTAGGGGGCAGCCACGAGAGTTGGGGACCCCCATGGACCTCAGAGGTGCCCCCGTGGTCGCTCATCCCCGCCCAGGCCTCCCCCGACCCCACTTACTTCACAGCCAGCATGCTGGGCCCGGTAGACGGGATGGAGATGGAGGGTGACTCCTGGAAAGACAGCAACAGGTGGCCAGAGGCAGAAGGGAGGGCCAATCAGCTCTGTGGCTGGAACAGGAAGGGGAGGAGAGCCAGGCACAGCTGGGGAGTCACCCCCCTTCCCCCCAGCCTGCTTGCAGGAGGGCCAGTTATTGGCTGAAGGGCGATCCACCCCCACTCCAGAAAGAGCCACTGTCGCCGAAACCAGTTTGGCTCAGTGGTAGAGCGGCGGTCTGCGGACTGAAAGGTCCCAGGTTCGATTCCGGTCAAGGGCATGTACATTGGTTGCGGGCACATCCCCAGTAGGGGGTGTGCAAGAGGCAGCTGGTTGATGCTTCTCTCTCATCGATGTTTCTATCTCTCTATCTCTTTCCCTTTCTCTCTGTAAATCAATAAAATATATTAAAGAGAGAGAGAGAGAGAGAGAGAGAGAGTGAGAGAGCGCGCGCCACTGTCAGGCTGGCCATGGCAAGCTGGGGATGTTCTTTCCGGTCCCTAAGCATCAGAAAAGGGGCTTAGGGGCTGAGCGCGCCATAAAAGGTGGTCCTCTCGCCTTCTCCGTGGATTCTGTCAGCAGGCCTTTTTGAACCACGGATTGCATGCCAGCCCCACAGCCGGCCTGGCCCGCCGGGCCCAGGGCAGCCGGGAGGGCTTCCTGGAGGATCGGCCACCTTGGGAAGCTGGGCTCTTCGGCTCATCTGCCACGTGCTCACTTCCTCCCGGGGCACAGGGAGGGTGAAAGGAGTTGCTCTTTTTATTTATTTATTTTTTTAGTTTTATATATATATTATTGATTTTTTATCAATGATGAGAGCGAATCACTGATTGGCTGCCTCCTTGATCCCCACTGGGATCCAGCCCACAAGCCAGAGCGTGTGCGCCTGACCAGAATCTAACCTGGGATCCTTCAGTCCACAGGCTGACACTCTATCCACTTGGCCAAAACTGGCTAGGGTTCCATTGACTTTTTTGAGAGAGAGGCAAAGAGAGAGGGAGGAGAGAGAGAGGGAGAGAGAAATATTGATGTGAAAGAGACACATCGATGTGCTGCCTCCCACAAGTGCCTGGAAGTGGACAGGATCGAACCTGCAACCAGGTACCTGCCCTGGACAAGGAATCAAGCCCTCAGCCCTTCAGTGGGCAGGTTGATACTCTAACCACTGAGCCACATGCACAGGCCAGGGCTTAAAATCACATTTCTGTGCAATGTTTAGTGTAATACTTTGCACGGCCATAATTGTTCCTTGCTTTTATAGTTGTGTTTTGTACATTTTTGATTTCTTTATATAAGGTCATAGATTCTTAAACTGTTGTAGTTTTTAGTACAGTTAAAATTAGTTTGTTTAAGACCTATTTTTAATCAAGTAGGACAGAAACTATTAAAGCTAGCTTTATACATGCAGAAACCAGTGCAGTATTTAGTATATGAAATATTTTTAATACACATCTGTCAGTGTAAAAATTCAGTGGCAGAGTGTTCATATTAAGAGTATATAAGCCGAGACCGGTTTGGCTCAATGGATAGAGCGTCGGCTTGGGGACTGAAAGGTCCCAGGTTCGATTCCGGTCAAGGGCATGTACCTTGGTTGCGGGCACATCCCCAGTAGGGGGTGTGCAAGAGGCAGCTGGTCGATGACTCTCTCTCTCATTGATGTTTCTAGCTCTCTATCTCTCTCCCTTCCTCTCTGTACAAAATCAATAAAATATATTTAAAAAAAAAAAAAAAAAAGAGTATATAAGCTTTGCCCTACCAGTGTGGCTCAGTGGTTGAGTGCCAACCTATGAACCAGGAGATCACGGTTGGATTCCCAAATAGGGCACATGCCTGGGGTGCGGGCTCCATCCCCAGTAGAGGGCATGCAGAAAGCAGCCAATCAATGATCCTCTCTCATGTTTCTATCTCTCTCTCCCTCTCTGAATTCAATAAAAAAATAGTAGAAAATGAGAGGAGAGGAGGGGAGGGGAGGGGAGGGGAGGGGAGGGGAGGAAAGAAATAAGAGGCTGAAACCGGTTTGGCTCAGTGGATAGAGCGTTGGCCTGCGGACTAAAAGGTCCCAGGTTCGATTCCAGTCAAGGGCATGTACCTTGGTTGTGGGCATAATCCCCAGTAGGGGGTGTGCAAGAGGCAGCTGGTTGATGTTTCTCTCTCATCGATGTTTCTAGCTTTCTATCCTTCTCTCTTCCTCACACTCAAAACTTAATAAAATATATTTAAAAGAAAAGAAAAGACTATATAAGCTTTGCCCTGGCTGGTGTTTCTCAGTGGTTAGAATGTCACCCTTGGACTGAACAGTTTCAGATTCAATTCCCAGTCAACGGCACATACTTGGGTTTTGGGTCCACTTCCTGCCCTGGAGTGAGGTTTGTGAGGGAGCCAACCAGTTGATGTGTCTCTTACATCGATGTTTCTCTCTCTCCCTCTCCCTTCCTCTGGCTCTCAAATCAATTAAAACAAAACGACAGAAACAGCCACCAGCTGGAGACAGGCGCTGCTAATCCTGGAGCACGCCCTCTAGTCCCTGGGGGTGTTTTCACAAAGCTGTCCCAGCCTTATCATCCCTCGCAGATGTGTGTGTGGATTTGTGGCCAAATCGCAACGGTTTGAAGCCTTCCTTGGCCCTGTTTCTCTCTGAAGTGTGTCTGATGCATATTTAAACCGGCGGTTCTGTTTACTTCCCTTTTTTCTCGTTGCTTGCTCAAGAGCTTTCCCCTGGGAATAAGGTTAGGAATAAGAGGCCAGGCTTGAGAATAACAGTAACCATGAGGTAAAGTGATCCAATCAATCCTTTTTACAAATATATATGTGTTTATTGGTTTCACAGAGAGGGAGAGATAGAAACATCAATGATGAGAGAGAACCATTGATTGGCTGCCTCCTGTACACTCCCCAGGGGCAGGTCTTTCTGTGCTGGATGAAACCCGGAAGGAGATTCCGGTCTGGCTTCAGTGTTAACAACCCTCAGGGTGTCAAGTACCTCAGTCCCCACCCCCCCCCCACCACATAGGGAGCAAAGCAGACAACACACCCGCCCTGCATCCCATGGGTGAGTCTCCTGGGGTTGTGTCAGAAATGACAACAGGCAGAGTCTACTGTCCCCACAAGGGTGACACGACACTGCTCCCCACCTCCCTGCCCAGGCTGGGAGCCCTCAGGCATCTGGACCCCCTGCAGTGACTTTCCCCAGCCTGCCCTGCCCTGGCCCCAGACACACACCCTTTCTCCTCCACCCTTGCAAAAAGCAACCTGCTTCAGTTTGTTTTCCAAGAGGCTTGCATCCCCTCCCCACCCTCTCTCCACCCATGATGGTTACACATTTAAGTTTACTTTGGCCGGAAACGGCACAAGGCCTGCCAACGAACAAAGAACCCTCCCCACCCCAAGTCTCAGCGCCAGGGTCCTGAGGCCTCTGCTGGTTCCCAGAGAGCTGAGGAGGCCTGGGGTTGCCTGTGTTTTACCCCCAGATTCCAGGTTGGCAGGTGAGATCTCGGAGACACCCCACTGCAACGGTCCTTCCGGGACTACAAGCCACCGTGCTGGGTGTCAGCGGGGATCTCGGTCCCTTTCTGGCCTCGGTCATGGTGGGTAAACACAGTGCGACTCAGTGACCAGTGGCGGGCCATTGGCAGGCCTGGATTCTGGACTCTTGGCCTGGTGTCGCCCGTTTGGGTAAGACACTGGAGACCTATGAAGAAAGAAAAAACAAATGTCAAAACTGGGAGGCTCTTCCAGCTTTAAGAAAATGTAAGGCCTTGTGGACTCAAGGGTCCCAGATTCGATTCTGGTCAAGGGCATGTGCCTTAGTTGCAGGCACATCCCCAGTGGGGGGCGTGCAGGAGGCAGCTGATCGATGTTTCTCTCTCATTGATGTTTCTAACTTTCTATATCTTTCCCTTCCTCTCTGTAAAAAATCAATAAAATATATTAAAAAAAAAAAAAGAAAAGAAAATGTGAGGCCTAAATAATAACAAGGATACTAATTCTACAAATATGAGGATGCTTACGCCCCACCTAGGATGGTGGGCGTGAGCCCTCCCAATAAAAGTGCGAACCTCTGTAAGAAAATTGAAATCAATCATAAAGTTAGCTGGAAAATCCACTTGCTTTATGTTTCCCCATGAGCCGCAATCCTAAGCAACGCCACTGATGAAATATTTTTTCTCTGAGAAAATTCTTCGGTTGGCCCAACCACTGCAATTGTCAGTTTTTGTTGTTGTTTTAATCACCTATGTCACTGTGAATTAGACATTTTTCTTACTTATATTGTATACGTAGTATTGCATTCCACATAAAAAGGAATTCAGAGACACACAGGGACTAGACACATGTTTTGCAAAGTAAAATGTCTATCAGTTTTGTCCCTTTGGGGAAAGTTTGTGTTTCTGACTTAAATGAACACAGTGGATTGGGGATAAAAATGAGATAAAAATGATGGGTCTGGATTGTAAAAACAAAGAAACAAATAGGAGTTGCTTCAACCCCATGTGACTTTTCGAGTTTCTGTTTGTGCCTACAACATGGAACCACGAAGCACAGTGGGACCTACAAGAAATGGTAGCATTGCGTGGTAAGTGCAAAATTTAGGTCTTCTGTGAAATGTGTTTCTGAACTTAACTGCCCGAAGTAATACCTTTGGTTGGGGGAAATTTTTAGTCCACACACGAAATATCCGACTTTATCTGCAAAGAGAAATATTTTGTTAAGTCCAAATTTTAGACAAAAATATTTTACTAAATTTTCAATGTCATTAACGTTGAAAATTCTTTTTAAAACGTGAGGGACCGAATCCAGAAAGCCATCATTGTGACCGATCTTTCGCAGGTAACTACTGAAAATAATTTTGACTTATTGGGGGGTGGCGGTCCCACGACCCCTTTCCCGCCCCGAGAGGTAGGGAGAGGGGGGGCCCCGCTGGGGGAAGGGGACCTAGTGACGGCGATGGGGACCACAGATGAGACTGGGCCACAGCGGGACACACCGAAAACGGACCCAGCGCGAAGCCACCATTCGGCTCGGGTCCGAATGTGGGGGTGGGGTGGGGTGGGCACGCGCATCGGGTTCTCGGCGCCAAGGCGGCCCCGCCCCCTCCGCGCGCCCGCAGAGGAACGCCAGCGGGTGGGGGCGGGACCCTCAGCTTTTAGCCCAATCCTCGGCGTGATCTCACCCTCTCTCTCGGCGTTGGCCAATCAGAAGCCGAGAGGGGCGTGCGTGCCTTGTTTCCCGGCGGCCCCGCCCCCTCGCGCGGCCGCGTTCCCGACGGCGTAGGGGGCGTGGCCTTTCCGCAGCGCCTATAAAAGCGGGCGACTGCGGAGACGCCATTTTGCGAACGGCGAGCAGCGGCGGCGACGCGGGAGAGGCGCAGCGGAGGTTTTCCTGGTTTCGGACCCCAGCGGCCGGATGGTGAAATCCTCCCTGCAGCGGATCCTCAACAGCCACTGTTTCGCCAGAGAGAAGGAAGGAAATAAACCTAGCGCCACCGTCCACGCCAGTCGCACCATGCCTCTCATCAGTCTGCACAGCCGCGGAGGCCACAGCAGTGAGAGGTGAGCGCCCCTCCCCTGCCCGAAGCTTCCAGAAGCGTCGCCGCGCAAGCTCGCGGGTGGCGGCCGCGGGGCGCCACGGAAGTCCCGGGAGCTCGAGACCCGCCCCTTTGTCGAGGCCACAATCGCGGTGGGGGGGCGGGTTCTGGTCTGGATGGGGGCGGGGCGGGCGGAGGGACCGGTCCGGGGTCTCGGCCTAGCAGGCGATCCGGGGCACGGGGGCACCTGGTTGGGTTTGGGGGACAGCGGAAATACGAAATGGGGTTTGGGAGAGGGTCGCGGGGAAAGATTTGGGGGGCGGGTTGGTTCGAGGCCGAGTCGGGCCCACGAGCCCCATGAATCTGCACTTTGCGGGCGCGGCCCATTAGCGGTGCCCGGCGGGGGGGGGGCGGGGGAGGTCTTGAGCGCTTCGACGGTGGGGAAACTCAAACAAGCCAGGTGCCCCATCGTGACCGCCCTAGTGACCCCCATTTTTTGGCCCCAAAGCGTATGGATCCGGGTGCGCCGGGCCCCCGAGGGCAGGCAGAGCGAGGCTGCGCCACGTAGGCGGCGCCGGGGCTTTTCTCGGGGTGGCTGCGAGCCGCCCCGCCGCGGGGACACGGCCCTGGCCCTCCTGGCCGCCCCTCGTTAGGTTTTGGGTGAACGTAGTTGTGCCCATTTCCAGCGGGCGCGGGTCCGATATTAAGTCTTCTACTTGTCGTTGGCAAGATCTTAGACATCCACCTCCGGGGCGCCATTAGCCCCTCAGCGGGGGGGTCCTGGGCCGAGAAGCGGACGGGCAGGCGTTTGAGGGGCCCCGGATGGGAGCCGTGCAAAATGGAGGCGACTTTGGGACTTGTTTACACTGCGCAGCAAATGGCTGCTGGCGCTCCCGACTGCGTGATTGTGAAAATCTCCCCGGGGCGCAGGGCAGCTCTGCCGAGATGACGCAATCCGCGGCCAGCGGGAGGGGCGCCTCCTGCCCGGCGGTGGAACTACTAAATGTTGCGGGCTTCGTGAGAAGGCGCCAGCATTTCCGATTTTTGCTACAGACTGCAAAATAGAAAAGGGGGAAGCTGAAGTGGCCAGAGTGAGAAGTGGGAAGTAAAACTTGATGGGGTGGTAGGATTGGGTTAGTAAGACTTTGTCGTTGTCTTGAGATAACTCAAGGACGAAAAAGAGCACCAAGTGGAATTTTGAGTTGAAAACCCGCCCAAGCATGGCCCACGAAGGCCCAATTAAGTAACCGCTTGTTTCTCTGATATCAGGGTAGGGGTTGGGTAGAGCTTTTGAGCTGCCCTGACTGGCGGTTGTTGATTTTGACCCCTTGACTGGTGTAAGCATGGGATTGGGGAGGGCAGTCCTAGGTGGGCACCACTCTAGTTGGGACTCTGGAATGCCTTGGTCTTCGGCTTGGTCTGGCTGAAGCTCAGGGTCCTGTCAGTAAAAGCCATACCCTAACCAGCCTGTTTTCCTTCAGTTCCAGGGTCTCCCTTAACTGCTGTAGTAACCTGGGTCCAGGGCCTCAGTGGTGCTCCTGATGTCCCTCACCCACCCCTGAAGATCCCAGGTGGGCGAGGGAATAGTCAGAGGGATCACAATCTTTCAGCTAATTTATTTTACTCTGTAAGTATCTTGTTCTCGGGGCTCCTCCAACCTTGGGGAGGGGGTTGGGCTGGGCTGGGCTGGGCTGGGCTGGGCTGGGCTGGGCTGGGCTGGCTTGGCCATGCCACACCACACCTGCAGCCCCTGCTTCTGCACAGTGGCGATTTCTTACACACCTGCTGTGTGCTAGGAATCTATTGGATTCTCAGAACAGAATGCAAGTTGCAGCCCAGGCCCTTATTGAGCCATAAGTAGCCCTTGGTGAACTGTTTTTGCCTCAGCCTGGGGCTCCCGCCCTGACCTTGGCTTGAGCCACCTCCCCTAGAGGGCTGGGAGGCCCTGCATGTGGAAGGCATCTTTGCAGGGGGCTGGGTGACGGGGTGATTTGGTGCTTTTCTGGGTTTTCCAAATTGTGGCATTGAGGAGGAAGATCGACCACTCAGTCTGTGAGGGTTGATGTCTAAGGTTTGAATTTGGTTCTTTCCTTTCACAGGATAATAGGCTGAATGTAACAGAGGAACTAACGTCTAATAACAAGACGAGAATTCTCAACGTCCAGACCAGGCTCACAGATGCCAAACATATTAACTGGAGAGCAGTGCTGAGCAGCAGCTGCCTCTACATTGAGATCCCAGGCGGAGCTCTGCCAGAGGGGAGCAAAGACAGGTGAGGGCCAGCCTGTCGGAGTCCTCACTCGAGGGGAGGAGGGAAGCCAGAGTCTAGAGTTGGGCAGGCCATCCTTTTTTGAGTAGTGGTCTAGCAGTTCTCGGGAGATCCTCCACAGGGAACACTGGGCCATATTTGTGGACATCCGGTTGTCACATCTGGGGGGCGCCCCCTTAGGGTTGATCCTGGCATTGAGTGGATGGGAACAGGGATGCTCAACCTCCCACACAGAGAATGGCCCAGCTCCAGAGCCTCTAGGTCTATACCTGGAAGTTGTGCTCCCCATAAGTCAAGCCCGTTAAGAGAAGTGGGAGGTGCAGGCTGGGCCCTTAGGAGGGGCACATGAGGTTGGACAGATCCTGACACTTGCACTTCAGCTTTGCAGTTCTTCTCGAGTTTGCAGAGGAGCAGCTGCATGCTGAGCATGTCTTCATTTGCTTCCACAAGAACCGTGATGACAGAGGTAGGTGGCCACCCATCACCAGGTGCTCTTGCAGGGATAAAAGGAGAAGGCACCCACCCCCCTGGCCCTGGGGAGGAGGCCTGTGGCCTAAGGTCTTGTTGTCTAACCTTGGTCATGCTGTTCACGGGGCCCTAATGAGCACATCCTCGGTCTGTGTTGTGTGTGTGTGTGTGTGTGTGTGTGTGTGTGTGTGTCCCCAGCCCCTTGAAGGCTCTGTGAGGGGCCATCTCGGGGGGGTGGGCGGGCCCAGAGCCCAGGTTGCTGGAGGCCAGCGGGCTCATGCAGTTTTCTCCCACAGCCGCTCTGCTCCGTACCTTCAGCTTTATGGGCTTTGAGATTGTGAGACCGGGGCACCCCCTTGTCCCCAAGAGACCCGACGCTTGCTTCATGGCCTACACATTTGAGAGAGAGTCTTCTGAGGAGGATGAGTAGCAGCTGCACCACCTGCGCCCTCACCTTTGCCACCACTGACATCATCGCAGATGTAGCCCCTTGTGTGTCTCGCTTCGTGCTGGTGGTGTGACCAACGGCTGCCCTGGGTGCAAATGCCAGGCCTGCTCCCCTCTTCTGGGTTTTGTCCGCATGTTGTAATTGTGCAAATAAATGCTCACTCCAAATTAGCGGTATATTTCTTGAAGTTTAATATTGTGTTTGTGATACTGAAGTATTTGCTTTAATTCTAAATAAAAGTTTATATTTTACTTTTTTATTGCTGGTTTAAGGTGATACAGATTATCCTTGTACTTCAAGCAGGAGTTTTCTTATTTGAAGCTTTGGAAACAGTTTTAGGTCCTAACTTGGAAAGATAGGTATTAATCGACCCTTCTATTGCTTTGAAAAAATCTGAATAAAAATGATTACATCTAAGACCTGTCTGGGCTCAGTGGTGTTAACTTGGCCTGGAGGGAGGGGCCTCAGTTACCTGGTGTGGCCTGGGGCTGTTTGCAAGTATGTGATGATGCATTCTGAGTGGATTAACCCCTTTGACCGGGGAAACAGGCTCAGGGTGGGAAGCCAATGGCTTAGTCTCTCATCTGGCCACAATCTGGTTCTATGGGATGTGCTTCGAGGCAGATTTCAGGATCCTGGGGCCCCGTTTTGCCATCTCAGCCAGGCAGCTCTGGATGACAATCTGCCCTCCCTCACCCACATCTTGTACCTTCAGGTCCCCTGTCCTGCCCTTCCCTGGGGTGACCAGGGCTGGAGGCTGGCTGGCTTCCAGTTATCCTAAATGGCCTCACCGCTGCCTGAAGCTGGGGGCCTGCAGGGGACTTAACCAGGACTGTGTGGATGTGTGTGTGTGGATGGCCCCAGCCTGTTGCCGTTGGCGGCCTAAGGCCGAACTGGAATAGCACTGCCAGGGAACACTGGTCCTGTAGTTGGGGGAGGGGAGCTAAGTCCCAGGATTGGCAGTATCAGTGCCACCTGCTGGCTGCATCTGGACATTGCCTGGAGATTCATGTCCAGGCCTTGTGTGGGAAACACGCTGCAAAGGGGGACACTTTTGACAGGAGGAAAAGTGCTGGGAGACCGGTGGGATAGGATATTCAGCTACCTGAGTGATGATGGAGCCAGTCTCCAAAGGTTTGGAGGTACAGAGCTGGTCATACCTAGGGGTTAGGAAGTTAGGAACATCTCCAGGATCACCATGTTAAGGGAGGAGTAAGGAGGCATGACTGGAGGCCCAGGCAAGAGCCGTGGGACCCCTCAAGGCTCCTGTGTCCATTTTCAGAGGCATAAACTGAGTTCCCACTCATTCCCTTATGTCCCCTGATGAGTTGCAGGCCAGTTTATCAACCTTTGCTGGCACTGAAAGGAGTGTTTATGCTCTGCTATTGTGGAGACCATGATCATCAGACCCCAGCACTAGAAGCATACTGGCTTCTGCTGGAAGGTGTGGGGAGGGGTGTCACATTGATGGACAGGGGGTGTCCACACTGGGAAGAGGGGCAGGTGGCCCTGGCTGTTAGCCCTCACTCCTGGAAGGGGGCACCTGCCTTCTTGGGGTGGACATGGGCCTAAATTCCCAACAGAGGAAGGGGCAGGCATTGGAGGTGGGGTGCACTAGCGTTCTGGAAGGGGGCATCGGCCCTCTGTGAAGGCAATGCCACCAGCCCCAGCCCTGAAAGGAGTGCCTACCTTCTGCAGAGGCCCTGGAACAAGCATGTCACTCGGAGGGTCAGTCCCGCAGCAGTGCCAGTGAGGCCTTTGTGGCCTCTGCCAGGTAGTCACAGCTCAGCTAGTCCTTCAGGTTCAGCTCCTCTGCACCAGCAGCCTGCTCCACGAGGTGCAGGGCCGGCAGAGCATGGCACACCCGCAGCCAGGGCCCAGCAGTGCTCCGTGGCTACACAGCTCCAGCCATGGTGCCCAGAGCAGCGTCTGGGCCGCTAGGTGTTGTCAAGGGCACAGGGCCGAGCAGACAGCCCAGCTGCAGTTCCTGGGCACCCAGAGCATCAGGCACAGGGCCCTGGAGTCCGAGCACTCACCTGGCCTCTCAACAGCAGGTTTTCCGCCGTGGCCCTGCTAAGAATGTGCCCAGGCCTCGAGGTGCTCAGCAGCAGCAGGGGCAAGGCTTAGGCGAAGTCTGAGGGCCTCTGTGCTCCCACGGGACTGCTCCAGGACGCCTCACAGGCAGTGCACCCTCAGGCACCAGACCGCAGCCTCCTGAGGCTGAAGTGCAGGGGCCCTGAGCCTGCTGCTTCCACTCCGGCTTTGGGTGGAAGGCAGCCTGCATGCCTCCAGAAGCAGGGGTTAAGTGTTAAATTGGATGTTAGTCACCAGGATTATTTTAAGGAAAACGACATCAGACAGGATGGCAGGTAGGGGTTAAACTCTCCAGCCTACCAAAGCGCAGGTCCCTTACCATGTGGTAAAGTGTGAGGTGACAGCTAAGGTGTCAGAGCTGGGCTGACCAGTAGAAATACCACACAGGCTATGATATTTAAAATTGTCCAGTGACCACATTTAAAAAAAGTGAAAAATAACAGGTGAAAATAATTTTCATAATATATTTTATTTAAGCCAAGGTATCCAAAATGGTATCTATTATTAAAAAATATTGAGGCCTGGTGCATGACTTTCATGCACTGGCAAGGGGATAAGGGAGAATGAGGGGTCCCTCAGCCCAGCCTGTGCCCTCTTTCAGTCTAGGACTCCTTGGGGTGTGTCTGCCTGCCAGCTTAGGCCCGGCTCCCTCTGGGCCTAAGCTGGCAGGCAGACATCCCCAGAGGGGTCCTTAACGCTGCCACAGGCTAGAGAGGCATAAGCCTGTCTTCTGGCCGAGTGGTGCTCCTCCTATGGGAGCACACTGACCGCCAACCACCAGGGCAGCTCCTGCATTGAGCGTCTGCCCCCTAGTGGTCAGTACATGTCATAACGACCAGTCATTTCGCCGTTTGGTCGATTTGCATATTAGCCATTTATTATATAGGACTAGAGGCCCAGTGCATGATATTCGTGCACTTGGAGGGGGGAGTATCTCAGCCCGGACTGCACCCTCTCACAGTCTGGGAGCAGCCCCCAGGGGATGTCCTACTGATAGATTAGGCCCACCCCCCATAGGACATCCTTAGCGCTGCCACAGAGGTGGGAGAGGCTCCTACCATAGCTACTGTGCTAGCCAGCCATGAGCCCAGTTTCTAGCTGAGCAGTGCTCCCCCTATGGGAGCACACTGACCATTAGGGGACAGCTCCTGCATTGAGCATCTGCCCCCTGGTGCTCAGTGCATGACATAGTGACCGGTCATTGTGCTGTTAGGCAAATTTGCATATTAACCTTTTATTATATAGGATCATTTTTGACATTAAGTGTTCAAGATCGTGCATATATTTGACACTGAGAACATATTTCAGCTGGGACTGAATGTATGCATGGCCAGCGGCTGCAGTACTGGAGAGCAAAGCTCTTTAAAAGATCAAAGAACATCAGGTCTGGGGATTACATCAGAATCACCGTTGGGGGGGGGGGTCTAAAATCACAGGTGTTGTAGAGGACTCAGGAGGTACACATTTAAAAAATAAAAGTCCCATATGAGCCTAACCAGTGGTCAAAGACAACGGGGGCGGGGTATGTGTGGGGAGGTGTGTGGGGTGGGAATGGGGGAATGAGGACAAATATGAGGTACCTTAATAAAGAAGTTTAGCCAAAACCGATTTGGCTCAGTGGTAGAGCGTCAGTCTGCGGACTGAAAGGTCCCAGGTTCGATTCCGGTCAAAGGCATGTACCTTGGTTGCGGGCACATCCCCAGTTGGGGGTGTGCAGGAGGCAGCTGGTTGATGTTTCTCTCTCATCGACGTTTCTAACTCTCTATCCCTCTCAATTCCTCTCTGTGTAAAATCAATAAAAAAATATTTAAAAAAAAAGTTTAAACAAAAATAAATAAATAAATAAATAAATAAATAAATAAATAATAAAGTCCCCAGGGCCTCTGAGTGGAGTCAGAATTGAGCTATTCACTAAAGAACTTAGTCAATAAAACTCTCTCCATACTTCAGTCTGCAACATGGGCCCATAACACATGCCCCCACCCCTGCCTAAGAAGACCATGAGCTGCCCATGGACAGGGCTCCAGCCCAGCCCCAGCCTCAGGGGCCCATTCTGGGGCCCCACAATGTGGATGAGAGTCAAACAAGCAATGACAAGACTGGCCAGCCTGTCCCCCTGCAGAGCTGACCCCCAGGACCTGAGTCGGGAGCCAAGCACGCATAGCACAGAAGCCCTCCAGGTGCCAGGCCTCTGGTCGTGGAGGGACAGGCTCAGCTCAGTCCTGGAGAAGAGCTTCCTCTTCTGTGAGACCATCTGCGAGACCCCCAGTGTGTGGGCCTGCACCCCCACCCCCTAATTATTCCAGGATCTTCAGACCAGGATTGTGCTTTGGGCAGGTGCTGCTCTCTTGGGGCCTGACTCTGTTCTGACTTGCTATGTGACTTTCAGCAAATCCCCACCTCTCTGTGTGCAACAAAGAAAAGTATTTCCCTCCCTTAGCCACACTAGCTAGATTTTTCTTTAAAAAAATTGAGCCTGCCTCGCCAGTTTGGCTCAGCGAACAGAGCATCACCTGTGGACTGAAGGACCCCGGGTTCAATTCAGGTCAAGGGCACATGCCTCAGTTGCTGGCTCCATCCCCAGGAGGAGCGTGCAGGAGGCAGCCAATAGCTGCAGAAGCAGCCAGCTTTATCTCTCTCATCACTGATGTTTCTATATCTTTCTCCCTCTCCCTTCCTCTCTGAAATAAAAAATACATTTAAAAATAATAAAAAATTGGAGCCGGCCCTGGCTGGGTGGCTCAGTTGGTTGGAATGTTGTCCCACGCACCAAAAGGTTGGGGGTTTGATCCCTGGTCAGGGCATGCACAGGAGGCAACCAATCGATGTTTTTCTCTCACATCAATGTTTCTCTTTCTCTCTTTCTCATCCTACCTTTTTCTCTCTAAAATTAATAAATATATCCTCGAGTGAGTATTAAAAAATGGAATCATCTGGGTTCTGGCAGAAGTGGGTGCACTGCTGAGTTGGGTGAGGAATTGACAAGATCAAAGCTGAAGGAGGTACGGAGAGATGGAAGGATCTTTTTTTAAATTTTAAATATTTTTTTAATATATAAAAATGGGGTTTATTTTACACAGCCCTTTGAGATATAACACCACGGAGTCACTATTCAGTTATATATTTATATGAAAATTTGTATTTTGCAAAACACATATATTTATCTCCAGGAATTAGTTGCCTTTGTTATGTAAGTGCCTGTCTTGTTCTCTTATTCACATTGTGAACTCTGTGGGAAGAGGCCCTGGCTTATACTTCTGTATCCATTATTGAAAAACCAAGAACACTGAATAATTGAAATCTCTCTTCTCAAAAAGGAAAAAAAAAAAATTGAATCATCTGACTTCCCTTCCTCCCATCCCCACCTCAAGAATAAGCCAGGATTCAGAAAACCCTGAATCTTGTACCTGGTTTGAACTAGGGACTCAGTAGACCCCATGCTTGGGGAAACTGAGGCACGCGAGGCAATCGTTTCACCTACTTTTGCTGCAGGAGGAATAGGAAAAATGAGGCCCAGGCCCCCACTTTCTGGCTTCTTTGAAATCGGGCCCGGAGGAGTCACTCCAGAGCCCCTGACGTGCGCCTGTTTTGCTTCTGTCTTCTGCAGGGCAGGACAGAAGCCTTTTTCCCACGCTCAAATGGGGAAACGGAGGCCCAGAGGGGAACGCCGGGGTGGCCAGTGAGAGGCTGCTCTTGGCCGTGGCTTCTGCTGACTGCTCAGAGTTGGTGGTCCAGCCCCTTCCAGAAGGAGCACAGGCTTTCAGAGGCCAGCAGAGCTGGCCCTGACATGGGGCTCTGTGCCTCAGTTTCTCCATCTGTCAGGTGGAGGT